ACTGTTATTTGATGTATAAGGACCCAGTAACTTAAAAACAGACTGAAATAATGGGAATTTTTAGTTCCACATAAAAAAAAAGAATTTGTTATAAAGTACACATTAAAATTGTTAAAATAATACACTTTGCTCAAAAAAGAGCAGATCAGGGATAAATGCATGGAGAGTTAAAACACTGTCAAGCAGAGAACTATAGTGTCAGCCATGCCTGGACACTGCAGAATAACTGCAGCTTTTACAAAGCACATTCAAATTTACTGTGCCAACATCCAGACTGGGAGGGTAAACAGAACAAACCAAAATAAACCCAGCAGAAAGTTTTAGCCAACCATGTAAGTAGCTAAACTGAGGTTCCAACAACATTTCATTTTAGCAAAAGAGAAAATATGTTTCCTTAAAAGTCTGGACTTGAGGACCAATCTGTTTGGATGACAAGAGTTCAAAAGAAATCCCAAGGAAACTCTGAAGTGCGCGCAGATGCAGGTTCCTGTGAAACACTACCATGAGCAGCAAAGGATAACAGACACAGAAGTGAGACTCTCTTGAGAAATCATCATGCCTTAAATATATGCACTGTGAATATAAATTAAACTAGAAAAAGAAATAAGTGGCTGCATACACTGATATGACATAAATGGCCAGAGCAAAATTTATTTAACCTCATTTAGTTAAAACCATACGTGTGTAATGTGTTAAGCCAGTAAAAAGTAAAATAAACTTTCTTGAAAGCTTGTAACATTTCTATCACAGAAATAACAAAACTTACCTCAACAATTCCATCTATGAAAATAATGTAACAAACTTTTAAAATTAACAGCCAAAAGACATCAGCCTAGAGAACTATCTCTGCCTTGGGACAGACAGATGCAGACAAAGCCAGCAGAGAGGCCCCAGTCACACAAAAGCTGATATTGTTCTCCTGCTGGGTGAAAATCCCACTTGTAAATTGAGGGACATCTGCATTCAGAGTCAGCCCAGGCAGGGCCCTGCAGAGGTGACCAAAGCACTCCACCCCACTGCAGAATGATTGCTCTGATCTCCTTCAGGGCAGGCAGCTGCACCAAGCAGCAGCTCCTGCCTTTCCATCTGAGAAGAATTCCTTTGATGCACTGACAGAGATGAAACATCATGGGTAAAACTCTTCCCCACTAAGCACAGCCTTGAAGCCCACCAGACTTTGCAAAATAAATAATAATTGAAGTAGAAGACCTCCAAAATTATTAACCTCTTCACAATTCTTTCCAACTCCTTTATCAGTACTGCTGACACAGGACAGCAGTGTCTCCCAGGATGGCTTTCATGAAAGTCAATAAAAAAGGATTTAATTCAAGCATTTGATAAGGCCTCTAAAAATCTGTCCATGGTAATAAAAAACTGCGTTCACTACTTAAATTTAACTCTGTTTTCCCATAAAGTTATTTATATACTGTACTGCATTCTTTATCATCTAAATTGGATACTGGAACGAAACAGTCTATAAAGCTTTATATAGTCATAAACCCAGACATTTCTAAGTGACAGAGAGGAAATGCCCTACTGCATTCACCAAAATTTTGATCCTCACATATTTAACAGAGCAAGAAAAAGGAAAGAAATCCATCCAAACCAAAGTTACTCTTTTACTTTAAGAAAAATCAATTATTAAACAGTAATATTTTTTTAGGCAGTGAATATTTCTATATGGTTGTTTCTAGAAGGGCCTTTTCTTTACTCTCTGCAGTAAACACAATTAAGTTTTTAAGAATTAAATGTGAAACTTCTGTGCAGGAAAAAACCCACTCCAAATAATAGGATTCTATAAAATGATGAAAAAAGCACACAATGAAACTATTCAATAAACCCACATCAGGATATGCTTCTGTATTGCAGAATTTGGCTGAGAGTGATTAACTACTTCCTAAGTAGTTGGCAACTTTTCCCCCCTTGTTTTGAACACCTTTGGCCACCAAGTAAATTGAAAGAGAGCCTTAAGACAGTTACCTAAACAAATTAATAAATTAAAAACAATTAATAGGATGATGCCTTCTGTGGCCTTCAGAGGTGCAACACCCAAGCTAATGAGTTACTGAGAAAGAAGATTTCTATTCTGCAATCTGAAAAAAAACTCAGCACATGGGTAACTTGCATCCTTAACAAAATGATTGTTCTTTCCTTTTTGGCCTTCAGAAAAAGTTATTTCAGAGGCAAAATAAGATATTTCAGCAGCAGGCATGATCTACCATCATGTGCTTAATCTAAAAATAAGGATAACTCTTGAGAAAGAGTAGGAACATGAGAACAAATTTAACTGTGGAAAATGGCCACAGAAGAGGAAGAGTAGCTTAATGCAAAGTGACAGCCACAACTTCACAACAGAATAGAAAATTCCCACTTAGTGGGATATAATGGTTTATAGGTTACTTGGTCTGGAGGCTTCAGTAATCCCAAATACTCTGAGAGGAATAAACAGTTTCCCTGACAGAACTTCATCCAAGTACAACTGGTGATTTTTTCTGACAAAGAAATTGGAATAGTATTGATACAAAACCAGGAGTCAATCTCCCACATGCAAGTTACTGACATGAAAAAGCTACCCTTTCAAATAATACTGAAACTTGCTTCAGGCTTTAAAAGATCTATTTCAGGACACTGAATTCTTTCAGAATTTTATTTTGTATTTTTCTAACCAAAGTATCTTTGGGAGGATTCTACCATCTCCCTTCCACATAGCATAATAAAAGAAAATGCTTTTTGATGGCATTTTGTTCTCACAGATATCTTTAGAAGGTGCAATTAAATGCATCCTTTTCTGTTTATGAGAATGACTGTGATGAAGAATGTGAAAATGGTACAAACTCACTGCTGTTTTTTCTTATTTGAAAAGCTACAACAGACCATCACAGCAATAACAGGTCATGAATGAAGTACTGGGAACCTGACTGGTACTGTCAGGAGCAGAAAAAAGCAAAAGCATTGCAGAAGCATGAGTTCATGTCTGGCAGACCTGTCATCCCAAAAAACCACTGAAACTAAGGCCATGTGGTTTACCAAAGCCCAAGAAGTTATATGATAACACAATTATGGTTAATAAATATCTAAAACCTTTCTGCATGAGTCACAAAAGTATTTTGGTTCTTACTACACTTATATTATTCTACTCCTCTCCAGATTTTTTATTTCTTGTTCATATTAACTGAGCACCTTTCTGTACTGCAACATGCCGTATAAAAAGTAATTTAATCATCTGGGACACAAGCTAGGTGAACTTAAATTGGGAAAAAAGATTCATATTTTAATGCAAATTGCAAAGATGAATTGTTGGAGATGCAATTCAGGAAAGTCATGAGCTCCTAGTCCCTTCCTCCTGTGTGCTTAATATAATTTTATCTAATGACTGTTGATGTAAAATGCATAAAGAGTTATCAGAGAACAAAGATTAGAACTGCAGTGCTGTGCCAGGGCAATGCCATCCTCCCTTAGCAGCCAACTCCCCGTCTCTGGATGCTGCAGTCCCAGGGGCAGCTGTGCTGTGGGGATGCTCTGCCAGCAGCTTTGTGCTCCCACACAGGCCAGCTCAGAACCCAGCAGCCGGGGCCACTTCCAGACTGCAATCCCTCAAACTTCAAGAATGCACAGAATTCAAGTGACTGATCAAACTGTAACAAGTGTACAAATCATTCACTACATTTTTAAGAGTTTGGACACCAAAGGACCCGTGGCACTGTTGACATTCAGCTCATGCTCCTGCAAAGCTGCACAGAGGAACCAGAGCATTCAACAGTTTTGCAGAAACTCTCTCAAGTCCCTCCAAACATCATCATCTACTGGAATGACTCCTACTCCTGTGGCTCTTTAACTGGACACATCTCGTTAGATCCGTGATATTCACTGAGCTGGTCAGTTTAAGACACTGTACTAAAAAGGTCATCATCCATGTGATCACACAAGCATTTTGGTTTGATGCAGGAGTGCATATTTTAAATTAATCTCATTATGCCCACCTACCATTCTTTTTTTTTTTACTGTACAGTGTTACCAGAGCACACTCCCTCTCAAACAACATTCAAATAAAAGATGCTGTTCACCTACCAGTGGTTATTCAGCCCACAGGACTGCAGTACAACTGGCATAAAGTAAAAGCCCTCAGAACACACAGAACTGTCAGCCCTGGCTCCTCAGTGCCAGCTGCTTTGCTCTGCACATCTGCCACTGCTGCGTCACAGCACCTGCCAAGTGCCTCTGTGCATTTGGTTCCATCTGGGGTTTTTTTCTCAGTGCAAGGTGTAGATTGCTTTAAAAAAAGCTGGTCTTGCCTGAAAAGCAAGTCCTCTGTCTTCAACATGAAGTATCCACAAAGACCAAAAAAAAAATCAGGGAAAGTATTTTTTGACTTTTATTTGAGACCTCGTGCTGTGCAGATACAAAGTCACTGACAGCATGATGTGCTTTTAAATTTGTCATTCAGTGAGTGTTTTGGCACACCAGTAAGACACTGCTTGCTCCCTTATGGACTAGCATCTCTCCAGAAGCACAGAGAAATACAGATTTTAGATGACTGAGCCTACTACATACCACGTCCAAGTGTGAAAGAGAAATGAGCATACCTCACTGCATCACACTAAAAATTTCATACATGTAAGAATATCCCCAGAACTGGCCTAAGATTAGTAGATTTAATGTTAATAATAACAGAATATGTACAGTTATAAAGTTGCAATTCACGTTTAAAACAAAAACTAAAATGTGGCCTTTATTAAAAGAAAAAATCTATTCTGATGAATTATTTTAAAGCCAATTATTAACTAAAACTCTTAATCACTTACATATTCTAAAATACTCTATATTACAGGCCTAAACATGTATTTTTGCATAAAGTGCTAGATGATTCTTACATTGTACAACTAAAGAAATCAATTTTGGTATCAAACAAAAAAAGGTAATATGCTGAGCATAATACAAAATATTATCCAATGAACAACAGATACAGGAACACATTCGAATTTTTATCACAGAAAACTTACATCTAGTAACGTGTGAAGATGCTGATCCTGGAAAACACTGTGAAGAAAATCTAAGTCTTTTTCACTGCAGTCTGTAAGTGCATGAATTTCTTCCAGGCTGTCCAGCACCTGTGAAACTGCTCCTATGGGGCAACAGACAGGGGAAAAAAAGAGAAAAAAAAATCAATAAAGCAAAGACTCATGGTAAACTGAACTTTGGAAAAAGAAACTTTCAATTTATCTGGTACAATTGGAATGGGAGCTTAAAGAAGCTGGAGTTTTAACAGGAAAATTCACAGAATAAATTTTGCATATATCAAAAGTGCTCACAGATCATGTAATTATACATAAGAAATGGCTTAATGGGAGAGAGGTTAAAACCTGATTTTATTAAGCTCAGCTTTGTTCTCTTTTAGCCTTGCTTTCAATGATGTCTTACAGAGCAACTTGGATTACTGGCCTGTCCTCACTATTCCCACCCCAACCTTCACTTCTCTTTTTGAGCTGCTGGACAATTTCAAATACATACTGTAAAATTCTGAAACATCAGTAAGAATTATTTTGAAATCAAATCTTAAACATTGGTAAAATCAGGAAGAACCAATGCTTTCACAAATATTTTTTAAATCAGCATCGGGATAAAGGAGGGAAGAGGGAGAAACACCTGACTGCCAAATCCTCTGGGGGACAGAAAAGGCTGTAATATGTTTTTGTTCTCTTTGTTCTGCTTGCTTGGCTATCTCCTACCCAGCTGTTACCCTGCTTTTTCACCAGGGCATGGTTTTGGGTCATAGGATGGTGGGGATGGTTTTTAAATGGCATGAGGGTGAGAGAGAAGCGAGAGCTATGGAAACGAAAAGGAGAAATGGGAGGCTTTGTGGAAGGTGCAAGTCCATGAGGAAAAGCTGAACTCTCAGCAGGAGAGGACAAAGAAATACAACACAAATCCACAGTAAACCACCCCACAGTGGTTCTGTGTGAAACAACTTGTTTAAAAATCAGAGTATCAGTGGTGGTTGCCACCTGTGTGCTTTACTAGGAATGCCAGCCTTGGCTTATCTCAACACCCACGGATCATGTCTTCACTTTTTCCACTGTGGTAAAAGCATCTGGTAAGGGGCAGAATATCCAGTGAGAGTCTGCAGCAATGCTGGTGGTCTGGCAGTGAACAACTGAATGCTTTTTCATAAATAAATTCTTAATTCTGAATACAGAACTCTAGGCATTCTCTATTTCACTAATTTCTCATCAATATGCTTATTCTGTTTACTTATATATTTGCCTGTGTCTTTTTGACAAGACAGATAACATCTAGAAAACTGCTGCATTCCTTGAAATTCTATCTTCTATTGCATGAACAATTCTTAGCAGCCCTCCTTAACTCAAAGCCTTTTGCACTGCAATTTCAGAATGTCATAAAAACAATATACCAAACTGCCTCTTAATCACACAAGGAAAGAAGTAAACTTATTTCTCTGAAAATCTTGAAAAACTGGAATAAACATAACAAAATACACAAAAACTACTATACAAGACTTGCAACCTCATAGCTTAGAAGGAGAAATAAATTAAAAATCTAGAAACTCTTGCATCACATTCAGTACAAACCTCAGCCTAAGATTCTCCTCTCAGTTCTCTGGACAAGGTTTGAGAACCACAATATCCCCCTCACACACAACTCAAGTCTCAGGAGCAATAAAACTTCTTAATTCTCTCCCATCAAGTAGTGCCTGACTACTTACACCTATTTGATGTACTAATTTATGTTCTTTTAAAAATCTGTAGCTGTCAGCAAGTAAAACAAATGGTTTGACTTTTAGCAGTTGCTGTGCACGAGGTCGGGTGCACTGAAAAAGAGAAAAAAATGCTTCCTCTTTGATAATGAACAAGAATGCTCAGCTGAAAGGAACCATCCACATCCCACTGCCAGAGACACAGCAGGAAACCTGAGGAAATACAAGGACTGGGGATCTGCTGGTAAGAGCATGGAGAGATCACAGCTAAGCCTCAAAGGCAAGGAAAAAACCTACCCAGGGACCCCAAAAGGACTGCACTGTCTCCTTCACATGTTCAGAACATCAGTTAAAGGCTGATGCACTTGGAGATCTCAAAGGGAAGAAGGAAAGTGCTGGACTTTCCAGGATCCAGTTGGTAGAAGAAAATGTGTTAAAATTCTCTTTTATTTCTGCTCTTTTCATGCTCAGAGTTTGAATGATTTTATTTTCAAGCAAAGCTTCACTTCTGGGTTCAAAGCCCTTTCTGTGTATTTGGGGTATTTAAGGAAAACTCAAGAGAAGATTCACTTCAGAGGCCTGGGGTTCTTAAGAGTCTAATACTGCTCAGTGTTGCCCATAATCCCCAAAACCTGAGCCAAATCTGGAGCCAGGAAGAAGTGTGTTCCAAGTTGCCTGCAGTGCTGTGTGATTGTGAAACACCAAATGCTCTGGACCACCACATTCCTTATTTGACAGTATCACATCCTTTGCAAAGTTTATTTTGTGGAATACTTTGAGGGCTTTGAAATGGAAAAGAAAGTTATGATTTTTCAATATTTGCATCTCAACAACCTCTTGAATATTTGGGAATTAAAAAAATAGGGTTTGATCATTAGGTCTTTCTTCTTTTCCTGTCAATTGGTCACACTGAATAGAAGGCTGTCAATAAAGTTTTCAAGAATGTCCTTAAGAAATTTGACGAGACTTTCTGACAGTGACTTTGTTAATCTCCCAAATGACAGTTTTTACCTTATGGGGTTTTTTTTTTTTAACTATAATCTTATGCTTCACCTACTGCCACATCCCTCACTCATTTACAAATAATGTGCACCTGCATAAGCAAATGGCATAGCAGCAGTATACTGATAGCATGTTAGTGCTTAAAAAAAGTGACAGAACAATTTTACAGGCATGTTTGTGAACACCTAACTCACTTTGTTACAGACATCTGCTAAAATGTCTGAAAGTTCCTTTCAGAAGAGTTTTAAATCCAGAGAAGAGATACTACATAAAATAAAGTTAACCAACCTTTACAGCACACCTGTTTCTAAAAGGATTCATATTCAAGCTGAATTTCTAACCTTTGAAGAAAGTGTAAAGGTACTCAATACTTATAATTAAAGCTTATATCCTCTTGAAATAGGATTTAACCTCTTTTCAACATTGCAAGTGCACCCATTTTAACCTCAGCACAGATGATAAAGACTTAAGTGAATTATTACAATCATACAAGCTAAAATCTCAGACTTCTCATGGATTGTAGCAGTTACAGACAGAATCTAGAAACATGAAAATTAGAATGATGCATGAGTATTAGTAAGGCAGGAAAAATCAAGAAGCTGACTAACTTGACTGGCTGTGTTCATTTGTTTTTTAAGACTCCATAAAGTAAACTTTGTTAGAAAATGCTGCTCACTGCCCCAGAATTTTCAAGCAGTCCCAACTTTTGGGTGAGATGAATTTCACGCTGCACCTTAAGTTCCTGCAAAAACAGATCCAATTGCACAGGAAAGGCTGCAATTCCAGTGATATAAATAGAAGACTCTTCTCTGCAGAAACAGTAACAAAATCCACACCAAACATGGTTCTGTGAGAAGACTGTGGATCCTCCTGTAAATGCACAGTAAATGACCTCAGTGTCAAAAGGAGCAGTGACACTCTGGGCCATGCACACAACCTTGTCTTCCCTGTATTCCCATAATACCCCAGAAAGGATGGCTGCAGCTATTCAGAGTTTCCTGGGGACTGCCAACTGTGAAAAGTTGAAAACTACGAGCTGTCACATATAAAAAAGAGGAAAAACCACATTAGAATGCTTATGACAGTCTCCTGCAGTCAGCACTAGTACATAAAATGCTTTTATAGTTAGTGGAATCTTAAGGATGATACCCAATTACTTCTGAGAAGACAGAGATAAATTGAGCAGTTTTTTGCCTACTGAGGCAGATGTTATTTATCAGACATGTATTTGCCTTGTGAGGCAGAAACTTGGGAATTTCTCTTCGTGCAGTGCATAGTCAAAGTTACCAAAGGTATTTTGTGCAGGTTCTGCCACCTCATTTTTTGAGATGGCCAGTCAGAAATAGTTTTCTGTTACAGGTGAATTCTGTCTCTAGAGTCTGTAGCTGTCACACAGTGCACCTGAAGTTGCTATGGACACTGGTTCATCAGGCTGGAAGTAGGCAAAGCTTTGGTAAAATAGTGTTGTTACTACAACATTCAGCTATTCTAGTCTGGAACAGGTGGTTTGACGAAAGAAACTGAACTTTAAAGGTAGAGAGGAGTTCCTTCCTTCTCCCCAGAACATAGTAAAAGAGAATTTTAAATACTATTCCAAGAATTGCCTACATATTCTGCAGTAGTCATGTGTCCCCCCAGTACAAAGCACCCCAAAAGTTTGCTTTTCTGAGGCTTCTCAGCTCACCAGGCAGGTATAAGTGGCTCCCCCTGTTATATAACAGGCAGTAAATAGAATTAGGAACCTCTTTTCATGTGACATGTGATCTGCAACAGTGTATGACTAAATAAAGTGTTTAGGTAAATAGACTCAGATATTGCTACAAAGCACAGACTACATCCTGACTGCAAAGACATTCTGACAGAGGGAAAAAGTACTCCTTGATTAATTTTTTAATACTGAAGATTACAAATACTCATTTAAGTCTTGGGTCAGTCATAAACCTGCTTCAGAGTAATGAAAACCCAGAACTCAGGAAGCCTGGTGCTGTTTAAACACAAAACTATAAACCCTGACCTTTTTGCCAGTCTCCTGCATTTACTATGCCAGGAAATAGCTCTGCACAAGAACTGATAATAACTATTATAATAATAGCATGTTTTTATGAAAGAGACATCTGAATCTCTTAGATTTGTAGACCCACATAAAATGAAGCTCATGACACCAGCCACTCATTTGTATCCTGTTCACTCTTATTATTTGATTGGCTTTTCAACTATTCTTTATATTGTGTAAATATGTAACTGTGTCTTGAAGATTTTACAGTGGTATTTAAATGACTAAGCAAGGCTTTGCTGTCAGTTCTAATTTCTCTGTATATCACAGTTCAGTCCTTATGCCAGCCAATCTACAATAAACAGAAGCTGATTTCTCTCAGCCTCATCTCGTGGCTGCCTTCTCATGGGCAGCTGCTGGAAATGAAATTAAAAGACTAATCCTGGCTCTTACAGCACAGGCATTTCAGAAGGCAGGATTTACATCTTACTTGCTTGTGAAGAGGTCTGAGGGTAGTACATCCAACAAGGAAAGATGAAAAATCATCAGAAATTGTTAAATTTTAGAGAGATCAAATATTAGAATCACAAAATGAAGTCACAGGATATAATCTCACAAAAAAACAAGCATGGGCATTATTATAAAGTGCAGACCTTTCCACTACTTTAACTGATGTAACTTCTCAGATTTAGAGAAAGCCAGCTGAGCACCAGCTGCTCTTCATCACTTGCAACAACATCTGCAAACATCACTGGAGCTGAGATGCCTCTGATCTCACACAGAAATTTGTTGCTCTTTGCTGTTCACTGTATTCCAGAGCAAGTGACTCTGCAGGAACAGATGACAGCCAGAGCAGGTGTACACATGTATATGATATATGACTATAATAGTTCAAAATAAGGTGGGAGGTACATGTTTCACATATACACAGCAGTGTAATTAAAATGTAAGGCAAGTGAAGGCTCTGTCCTGCTCAAATTTGAGCTATAGAGCACTTCATGACTTCTTTCTTCTTAGACTGAAATCAAACAGTGAAGTTTAGACACCCTATAAACTTACAAATAAGGTCCTACATGCACACAACCCTGTAAATGCTACTGGGAAGCAAATAAAGCAGTGATAATAGAAATATATGTATATACATACACTGCATGTATATAAAACAATCAGGAGGAGTGTAGTAAGAGAGCTAGAAAGATGGAGGTTTATGGAGATGACAACAACAATTCAGAAAGAAGACTGCTGGTGCAATGGAAGGGTATTGCGATTTACAACTACATTAAAGAAGGTAAGAACATCTAAGGAGTACAAGAAAGGCGAGAAAGGCATGTAAAAGTCAGAAAAGAAACCAAAGGAAATAGGGGCAGGAGAGAAAAACAGAGAGAAAGAGACTAAACAAAGGAAAAAAGAAAAATAAAGAGAAAAAAATAGAAGAAAACAAGACATTAAGTGTTTCCAAACAGCAGAAGGAATATAGAGGAGAGTACTATGTATGGAAAACAACAAAGGATGGGGGGGAAGAGGAAGTGGTGGGGGAGAAGACAAAGAGGGCAGTGAGAAACTAATGCTTAATTTTGAAGAGAGACTTTTTTTCATCCTGCACACAGAGGGGCACTGAGTGTAGGCATGGCTCCACTTTCTCCTGTCTCTATACTTGGCACCATCACACAGTTTAACTCTTTGTCCCAGGTACCCCTCGCTGAAAATCCAGCCACAGGTATGACAGAAGCCAGCCTAGCATGGTGATAAAGAAACATGCAGGAGTGTTGTTTTACAGACCAGACCTGTAGCTTACATGTAAGTGCACTCACATGCAACTAAACAAATAAATATTTTAATAGATGAATGCCCTTCACTATCCCTTCCTTAGATCCTTTCTTCCTCCTTGCAAAAATGTCTAAGCATGAAGGCAGCACACTCTTATAGTCAGTTTGTGGAAGAAAAGTCTCTGTGCACAAACAAAAACCCAAAAATCATGGCACAGGCTCTGTATGAGGGGTTTTTTTCCCCCTACAGCTGTTTAAAAATAATACTATCACAAAACTTTTATATAAAAATCCACTGAACTTTCACGTTACTGGGCAGGCATTCTGAGATGGGGAAATAGGAGCACAAGGAACAACTTCCCCCACAACCTGTAAAATAAAAGAATGAACCAAACAACAACCACCACAAAATCCATGATTGATCAGAAATGGAGTCAGGGACACGTCCTGCTGACATGTCCTGAAGGACCTGTGACTAGTCCTAAGGTCCTAATGACCTAGGACAGAAGCAGAGCTGTTAATCTACAAGTCTTAAAATGCTGCAGGAAACCCCCACTTTCTATAGCTTGTTTTTGGAGAATTAGTTTTGCTGAATTAGTTGTTTTTGAAATGGTTGTGGTTTGTATCAAAGGGTCTAAAATTTCACAGCTTCTCTTCTGCCTAGCATAGTCTGCAGGTTTTAGACTTGCTTGTGCTCCCAGTTTCTCACGAAGTGTGCAGCTGCCTTGCAGCAGAACCTCTTCCCTACATGCCTACAGCATTCCTTCATGGAGGAGACACATTTTGGGTAGTTATTGAAATCAGGAGTATGCATATCCACAGTGCATATGCATACATCAGGTACCACATCAACACAGAAGGATCAACAAAGCTCATGCAAGCATAGAGCAAGAATATAACATTTGACTAATACTACAGTATATGTTTGGTGGTAGGAAGAAAAAAGAAAACATTAGTCCATGAAAACAATTTCGGAATGAAAATGCAAACCCAAAATATACTTTATTAATTCAACGAAAATTAGATTTTAGTTCAGCTGTGTTGCAAATATTAAATATTGGGAAAAAAAACCCCAAAACTCAGGTAATTTTAATACTGCCTCTAAATTAGAACCTTCAGAAATCCCTGGAAATCATCCTTCTGCTTAATTATACTTTTGATTACATATTACACTGATTTAGTTAATACCATATAATTTTATCTGAACAGGCAGTATTAAAACTGAAAAGAGCAAAGAGAAGCAAAAGAAAGTGGATTTTTAAACATGCAAAGACACACACCATAGCTGACTGATATGCCTTAAAGGAAAACAAAGGGATACCTACTTTCTGCTGCTAGAAGTCCTAGAAGGAAGGCAGCGTTTGGACAAACAACAAACAGTATGAAGATTTCAGAACAAGCCATTTATAAAGCTGCAACCTAGCAAACTAATTTAGCCACAAAATAGTCTCAACATAGTGCAAGGATCCCCCCAGTTTTTAATATGTTTTTTCTATGTGTGAAGCAAATGGCACTGGCAGACTGGGATGGGAGGAAAACAAACACTTGGCATTGGGAAGGCAGCACATGGATGCAGTGTTAGAGATCTATTAATACCAGACTTTTCCCAACATTGGTTAAACTATTTTTAAAAACTCATGGACAAAAAGGGATTTTTTAGTAAAAATATTGCAGGAGTTGAGATGATAAAATAGTTCAACATACTGCAAATGATGCAAAATATCATATTAATATACTTAGTAAGCAAAATTTAGCAATGTTATATTGAAATCAAAAGTTTCAGTGAGAAACGTTACCTGAACCATTTAGAAATACAACCACTTCATTATTGCTTTTAATTAACAGTGTCTTTATGCCCTTTTAAAAAAATTTAAACATATCAGAGCAAAGAATCAATAGCTGAAAGATCATAAAGTTAATAATGGAATGTTGGAAACACACAAACTCATGATCTCAAAACTGACAGCTGTGCTTGTAATACTAGTGAAGGAATTAGTAACAATTATAAGGTGAATGTATTTTTTTTTCCCCCAAGCATTCGTATTTTAAAATGTTACACAACACCCTTTGCAAATATTTACAAAATCAATGCTAATTTTTGCATAACAAAAGTGGGCTTTTTTTCTTCTGTTGATGAAACTGATGGGTTTTAAGATATGGGCTTGTATTGACAATATTTCATTAATTCTAAATCCCATAAAACAACTAACCATTCTAACTTGTGAGTCCAGCTACTTCCACGTATGTTGGAAACAGCGAGCTCACAACTTGTCTGTATCTGTGCTGTCTGACCTTGCTCTGAAAGACTAAGAGATTTAGCTTTATTCCCATTTTTATTATCAGATTTGAAAATCAAGATCTCATGCTGTTAAAAACTTCCCTCAACACAGAGTCTGACAAAATAGAAAAGGATGAAAATTTCAATTTGCACACATCAACCCTGAGACAAAATACCAAAAAGCATTTGCAAAGATGCTGTGCGTGGAGAAAACGAGGCAGAAGCACGGAAGGAGCCTCAGTGTGGCTGCTTTGTGTGCAGCGCAAAACTCGGCTTCTGTTTATCTGCTTCCAGAGTGACCACAGAGCCCAGCACTCACACAGTGCAGGAAATACTGCAGCAGTGCCACTGCTCAGCTCAGGTGCAGGAGCACATTTGGCCACTCAGGCTCTTTTCTTGCTCTGAGGTTACCCCAAAACACAGCTCGAGGATCCCTTACAGGAATCCAGAACTGTCTGTGGCAAGAAGTTGCTCTGAAACCTCTTAGTCACAGTTCAGAAATGTGTGCCACAGACCAAGGAATTCCAGCAGACATCAGAGAGTAACAGCCTTTAGCAAAAAGGTAAGGGATGCTTGAATTACAAGTCAGTTATGCAGTTTTCCAAAGCCATCCACTAGCTTAACTCTAGCACTGACTGGGTTCTGAAAATGTGTCTGCAAAAAGCTTTTGGAAACACAAAGTTTACAAAAAACCTCTTAAATTTATCAGTTTTTCTAACTGTTGGCCTGAAAATGTAACTATTCTGAATTACTTAACACCCCATATGAAACAGTCGTCCTCAACTCAGCTTCTCAAGTCAAACCCCAAGAAGCAAAAGAAGGAAAAATTAAAAGCTTTACACTGGTGCTCTTCATTCCCAGCCTGAGGCACTGTTATGAAAACACTTGAAAACTGTATGTCTGTACATTCTGCTGGGGGACAAGTGGGCAGCATATGACAGAAGGAGAGGAAATCCTCTCTAGAGCTAATGGGCAGTCAGGAGGTAGGAGGGCCAGGCAATGGGCAGGGAAAGGGAGGGAGGCAGATGGGGAAGGGCAGCAGAGAGCAAACACTGCATTTCCCTGGCACCTTATGGATTTCATGGTGCACTTCAAACACTTCCTACTGGACCAGTTTTTATCCTGTGACAGATTTAGCCTTCAGGGCTGCTGACTGCTAACTTCTGATTTATGTTTGTTTCAGCATATTAAAAATATCCAAAACATTTGTTGCCTTGGGGAATACACATTTTAGAATGTCTTGAAGACAGGCAACCTGAAAGTCAGATGTTTCACATTCTAGAGAAGACCATTTGCAGAAAGCTTGTCAGCTGAGCTGCTTGGTGGATTTACTGGAGAAGTTATTAAACACAGACTGTCAGCAATAAAGCAGCATTGTAGTTTAAAAGTATTTTAAAAGGTTTTATTGCACTCAAAATTCAGCAAGACTGGTTTCTGCCATTTTACCAACACGATGGTAGCAGGATTAATTCAAGTTTTTCAGAGGATGGTTGCTGACAAAAGAGGAAACAGACCACGCAGTGATCAGCAAGTGCTTGGAACCAAGAGTTGTTAACACTGTACAATGGAAAATAAGATGTGTACAGAAAAAAACCTAGTTGACTTTAAATGAAATTTATCTCTGTTCATTCCCATCTAATTTAGCTATGCAACTTTCTGACTTTCACTGGAAAACTCTCTAACAAGAATATCCTTTGTGCTTCTGCATCTACAAAAATCATTTGACTTGCTGCCGGCAGTGCCTTCCTATCCTGGGATAACCCTCTGGTAGCACAGGAAAATGCTCCAAGGTTCCAGGAACCCCAGGTTTCCATACTGGACTTTGAAGAAGAACACCTCTAGAATAACTGGGTAAAAAGAGAGCACTGAAATTTTCTGTTTCTGTGTTTGGAAAGCCCTGGAAGACAGGAAATGTGATTTGCATAACCCAATAAGCACCTATATTTCTGTATATTTATCTCTGTAGGAGTTCTGTGTTTGCCTGTTTCTGACAAATCATTTAATTACAGTGACAGGCTTCATGAAATTTTATGGGAGGAATAATTGGCAACCACATCTAAAATATTAAATGGTCTTCATTAAGAGTTTATGATCTGGAATAACATTACGAGTTATTAGGAAGGAAACTCAAATAACCTTAAGATAATCAAGTTTCTACTGCAATTCCTGAGTTTTAATTTCTCCAAACTAGTCCGGTAGTTTAGAATCACAAGACCCATCTTACAAGCTACAATTATTTGAAAATACTATTAGTGTAATTCTGAAGAGGAAACAAAATAGATTTCTGTATCTAGGAATTTCAGCTGAAATGTTATAATCTCTGAAAGAGAAAGCTGAAAGAGTTGCAGAGTCTTTTCTTGCAAGGCTTCGTGCTCAATATTTAATATTTTGTCAGTGAAAGTAGTGGGTCAGAGAATCATAATGAAAACTACCCACTTAGGATGGTTTCCTGATCACTGTGATCCCCCATCAGTTTGATCAACAATGTCAGGTTAGAGAATAACTTTGCTTTCCTGAGAATTCCAAGCTTTGGTTTCAGTTATTTCAGAGATGAACACAAGCTAACAATGGATCCAACACAGATATTCTGTACAATTTACATGTGCATTGGATTCAAGTATTCTGTGAGCAGAAAAAATAGAACTTGGAACGTTCCTGTATAGTGATATCTGCAATTACATCACTCTGAGGAAGACACATGTCCTGTTGATGTGAGACTGAAACTGGAAAGCAGAACTGCTGTTTCCAGATTAGGAAAGTTGCCACTGCCAGTCATGTTGGTGGCCATTCACCACTGAAATGGGGGAAGTAGATGGAAACAAAAATTAAGGCACTGCAAGTAGTTCTAGGTGAAGTAAAACTGACTTACTCTTTCTTTAAAAGAATAGGTGGATTCTTAACTGGAAGTACAAGTATCCAAAAGCTGCATGGTTGAACTTAAACTATGAGGCTTTGATTACCCATTTGCAATTAATGATCTGAGATTCTCATTCATTTCTATGGGAATAATGAATAGAGTTCATGCCTAAGGACAAAGCAATCTTTTAATTTTAGTACACAAAGTTGGATTCCAAGAAGTGAAATTGGACAATTTCAACCAAGAAAAGTTGCCCCCATTCTTACGTGGCATATAATTCTTATATTAATGACATTGAAACAATTTATAAAAATTACTTGCTTATACGAAATAGAAGAAATAATTAATATATGCAGTCAACACATAATTTTCTCACCTATAAAAATATTGGGACAGAGAATTATCACACAGCAGATCAACACACGTAATTAAGTTCCTGAAATGTCTTCTAGAGAAGTCAGTATATAGCTAAAATATTCTGCCAGTACTCTTAAATTGTTTAGAAAAATTAAAGACAGTCCTTTTGGTCTTAGGTTTTTCTTAAAGGTTCATTTAAATTAATCCTAAATCCTAATTTTAGATCAGACAAACCAACCCAGACTTTTGCACTTCAAATATTTTGAGCAATGTTATGTCAAAATTAAGACACATAACTAAAACAGGGCTGTGTTGGTTTAGGGACTGACAGGTGATTTAAATTTCTGAATATGGGCTATGGACAAAAGGATTGCTTGGTAAGGTCACTGTCCTGTCCAAGGCCTAGATCACAGCACAAGTATTATCTTCCCCTTTGAGTACATGTATTGTCTCTCTCAGAAGATTTGGGGGTCAGAAATACTGTCCAGTGTGCTTTGAACAGGACACATTTTAATCATATTGTTCCCTAAAACAGGAGTCAGGAAACTTTGGTACATAATGGCTTCTTTTTATAAATAATTATTAATAAGGTATTAGAGCTTTGCTCCTGCCTATGAATTCAAGACAAAATTTCAATAAGCTTCTATACTCAAGTAATATAAATAGAAATATGAGACTGTAACATTATTTGTAATTAAATGTACATATACTAACAAATAAAAAAATCACAGACTTTCTATAGCAGGTTAAAACTGTGCCAAGTTTTTTCTCTGGATTTTCTCTCCATTTCTGCCAGCTGTGAATGCCACTATGACTGAGAATTATTTATCCTTTCACATGTAAATGTTAACTTAATATTCAATTTTATGGAATCTCAAGAAATGAGTAAATACTTGGTACGACTGAGAATTACTTATCCTTTCACATGTAAATGTTAATATTCAATTTTATGGAATCTCAAGAAATGAGTAAATACTTGGTACTCTGGTCAGTATGGACTTAAGACATGCTGACCGCAGTAAATACACTTTCTGTTAAAATACCTGAGGAGGTGGGGTCTTCAGAGAAGTCTGGCAGCTCTTCAGGGGGGTCACCATAGAATGAGTTGAATTTGTGGCTTGACACAGCTGCTAGTACTGCCCCCTGAATAAAAATAAAATACCCACACAGTCTCAATTATACAATGCAGGATAACAAGACATTTCCAGACCCCTTGGATCACTCAGTCTCCTGAGGTCTCGTGTGTGTTGACCTTTTCAGTGAAGAGCAAATGTATTTTCTAGTCTTCAGCTCTGCCTCCCTTTTATCAGTGACCATATCTAACAGAAGAGCTGGTCATACACTAATAAACAGCAAAAATATTCTTTGCAAGGGGATTTGTCAGGACAGTTCTTTACGTGAATGCATTTTGAAATAATAACTGTGAGGCATAAATTCACATTGTAGTACAATGTAAACAAAATAACTAATCTCTATCTTTTCCTCTTACCTAGACTGAGTGGATTAGCAGGAATAAAAATTCACTCTTTAAAGCAAAACACTATGATTTTATTTTAGAAATTGTCATAATTTGACACTGACAGCACTAGAATCCTTTGACACCCATAATGCATCAATATAAAAATAATACAGTTATATACAGAATCACAGAGTCCCAGAATGAGCTTTACAGGGGAATTTACAAACCCAGAAAAATGGTTACCTCCTCTGACATATATTTACTTGTTCAAGTAAACTACACTTTAACCACTCAGGTTTTAATGCCTCACAGTTAGGAAAGTATGGATTAATTTCATGGAACATACTGCAGAACAGTGCTTTGGATAAAACAGCATAAAAAAATAATGAAGGTATAAAAGCTCAGGAACTAAATATAGTGGCCTCCCCAGGAAGAAATCCAGGAAATATCTGAAATTGCACCTAGAATAGGAACCAGGTCATATTCTAAAATATACCAGATAGCATTTTAATGTAAGTATTACATACTGGGCATACAAACCTCCTAAGAGAAAGAGCTGTTCATGAACTGTGGCAGCCGTGCATCCTCATCATCAGCCACATGAAACTTTTGCAAAGCAGCAGCTCAATGGGAATACCTCATTCTGAGTTTTATTACAAACTGTAAAACAGCCCATGAACTGTAATGCTCCATGTTTCTGTCATAATTTTCTGAACCTTTCAGTGAATTCAGAAATGCTTCTGTTCAACATTCCACGACAAGAACAGAAAGAAAACCATGTTGTTTTGGGCTAAAATGTTAATATTCTTTTCAATATGGCTAAGAAATAAACTAGTATGTAGTTAAACATAAACAGGATAAACTGAAGAATACATATTTGCTCTTCTTCAACACAGACATTAAAAATTACTATGTTCCTTTTATTCTAAAGGTAACACAATAATAACAGAAGTGATTGCACGATTCTTTCCAGTAATTCGTATGACACAGAATTACTGAATTTATTGAAGATGAAGGCCTCATATACACCTTGATTGATACCAGACAATTTGCAAATCATGCACTAATCATGAAATTTGAAAATGATGCACTAAGGAAGAAAGGAAGGACAAATAGCCTTTCTAAGACATCATTTCAATAAACATCTGTGAAGGCCTGCTGCAACTTTTCATTTTATTGCCAACTTCAAAGCATGGATTTCTTTTAGCACTTTTAAAATTAATCAAGTATCACAAAAAATTCGAGCTGCATATTATATTGTTTTAACACTACATTCAATTTACCTTTAGTTTTCGTCTTGCATTGAATTTTCTCAACTGTTCTACTGTTTCTGGAAGATGAATCTTGTATGCATAGCGATCTCTCTCCTTGAAAAGCCCCACAAAAAACAAACCAAAAGAGCATTAAGTACAAGCTTTTAATATCCTCTTGACACTAAGAAACTAGACAAGTACCAGCTCATAAATACCCTAAGGAGAATGAAGATTTGTTGCAGCTTAAGGAAAACTTCCAGAAATTAAGAAGGATTAAAGTACTTTGACAGAATTCTTAAATGGGGCCAAGGATATTTATATTTTCTTTTTGTAATTGTTTCCCACCTTGTAGTAAGACCCCAGTCTTTTGTTTTACTGTTGTGCTGTCAGTCTGTGCCCAGCACTGAACTTTGAAGCAGAAAGCAGTTCTGTTGTTTGGAATTCACAAATCTCAGTGAAGGAACACGTTCAAGCACTCTTTGACAGGGTGCTGGATACTTCAGGTGAGTTTGGGAGGTGGGACACATGTCCAACAGGGCAGGAAATGCCAACCCAATGCCAGCCAGGAAAAGGTACAGAAAGAATTCTCCATTGTAGCTGCAGATGAAAAATGTGCCAATGAACAATTGCAGTGACAGAAGGACAAAACTTTCAGCAGCCATCTACCTTTTCCCCCTGAAGCTATAGAAAAACATTAAATTAATGCGTTCATCACATTCTTCTGAATCAGAGTGAAACCACAGCAGTCCCTCTATGGCACTAAAGATGTCTCCACCTCATGCTGTATTTGCTCCTATCTATAAATGGTTTAGAAAGCTCTGAATCAGCACAGAAGGCAGTTTATTGTAGGCAAAAATGAGAGGATTGAGTGATAGAATGCCTGGCAAACAAAGCTGCCACAAACTAAACCACGTACCTTCCAACAAATAACAACATGGTCAAAAAGAGACCACAGACACCAAAAGTGCAAACCTGCACAGGCAGAGCTTACACATGCATATTACAGACTTGGCTTTTAACAAACCAAATTAGCTTAGTTGCTCAAACAACAAAAATTACAGGTTTTCTGCCAAAATGAACCAAGCTCTAGCTTTGGCATCTCAATGTGGGTATGCTCTCAAAGTGAAGAAAAACTCCAATTACAAGCAGGCCAAACCAGATCATCTGTGTTTGTGTAATATTCTGGGATTCCAAAACATGGTGTTCATTTCCATACTCTTTGATATTTGATAAACTGTGTACACCCCAGACCAGCAGACAGAACTCTGCCTCTTTTTGAGTAGAATGGTTTGAACAGTTTCCTAACACACAGAAGCGCTGCTTTAAGCACTGTCATTTCAGAGAGGTGAACACTCCCAACCTCCTCTGATAAGCCAGAGCATTCTGCAGCTTGGAATACAAGAGTCAGAGGCAGAAAGAGAGCAGAGAAATGGAAGAGTGACTCCATTAACAGGCGGTTACACCATTTACTTGGAGGGACAAGTGCATAGGATCCTGTTCTTCCCAGGTTCTTTCTTTGTGGGTTTCTCTTTGACTCATGTACAGCACAAAGAGAGGCCAGCAGCAGACACCAGATCAGTCCCCTTTCAAAATAAGTGCCCTGTTTAAGTTAATGATATTATGACTCTTTCTACCCTGGACACCCATAATAGAAAAGTAAAGGATAACTAAGAAAACAGTTAATTCATCAGCTTCAGCCAAAGAACCAGAAAAGTGCTCTGAACCACCACTTTTCACCTTTTAATTCTGCAGCACAACCCACCATTCTCCAACCCCAATGTTTAGCACAGACTAGTGATGGACTGCTGAGAAGCTACAGGTGTATTTTCTCCTGCTCCTGTTGTAAACCTTCAGTGTGCAGCAATTACTCTTCCACTGGCTTAAAGTGTGTTGTAAATTCTGCCATCACTGAAAAATACTTTGATTACCAGATGTCATACAATTTTATGCAGCCACAGTGGCCTTGGAGCAACACTCCACTACTTCCTTCCCTTTTGGTGGGATATTTTCAAGAATCTCATGTAAGGAAGCAGCACAGTTCAGTAGCATAACCTACAGCAGTAGAGTGCATGGCTACATGACTAACAGGAAAGAGGTTTAGATATGACTGAGTGAAAGAAGATCAGAAATTATTTCTCTGGAGTTTGAGAGCCACAGAAAGACACATTAACACTTTCTTTAAGCTTTATGCTATGCAGCTCTACTCCCTGCACTCTGGGGCTGCTGAAGATGACCAAATGAGTTTGCTCTTAAGCAAGAGTTTAAGCCTGGCAATTATCAAAATCTCAGGCTCTAATCCTAGAAAGCATTTAAAGCACATTATCCCACATTTTGTACAGATTGTGCCTACTTTGAAAAGCTCAGAAAAACAAAGAAATATATGTTTTTTTCTCCCTTAAACAGGAAAGTACCATGTAAACAGCTGCTTTTACTACCTTTAACCAGGGGTGATTCAGTGCTTCATACACTGTTATCCTCTCTGCTGGATCCAGCATAAGCATGCGGCGCACCAGATCTTTGGCACTTTCAGAAATATGGCTCCATTGCCTGGGATTCATCTGATTAGGAGCAAGGAAAAAAAAATTAAATTAGTAATAAGAATGTAGAAAAGAACCTAGTGTTTATCTACAATAATTGCAGAGATTTAACAGTGGTTGGTGCTTGCAAACATTTCCGTGTAATGAACGTAAAAGGAAATTTCTAAGGGTTTTAATAACTTGCAAAAATGGAACACTAGTTGTTACTGAAATGGCACAAAAATTGAAAACATAAATCCTGACATGTCCTTAGTATTATGTTAGAATCATAGTATAATTTCTACCTACTCTACATTCTGCTCAGATGAAAGTGTCCATTCACTAGACAAAGCAAAAAATAATAAGCTCTGTTTAACTGTTAATGATGCATATGACAAATGCAGAAATTAAATCTACTCCTGAAATCAATTTACGGCATGAGAATTTATCCGTTTCAACCCACAATTTCATGCTAGTGATTCTGGGTAAGAACGGAGTAAGAGAATGCCTGTTGTGAACTATTCTGCTCCTGTCCTGAAGGTGCTATGGACAATGGCTCTTCCCAATAAATTCCTTTCAACTTCACAAGAGGTAAAGTTTTTCCACTGGGAAAAGGAAAATGTCCTTTTCCTTCCTTTCCACAGGAAACCATACAAGGACAAGACAATACCAGCAACTGCAACACTTTCAGAGCAGAATTTTATCTTTAGGAGATTCAATAGGAATGATGCTTTAGAATATATTTTCATTTTGTGCATATATGCAAGTTTGTGCCCAACCAGTCAAAATGATGGACACCTGATAAAACCATACCAAAGTAAGAAAATTCTTTATGTGATATAAAGGATTATATCCGTAAGGTATTTCTAGTATTTCTTTAAATTATGAAGAAGCTAAGTTTTATTTAGATGATAGACAGCTAACTTTACAAAATTCTTAAAGCAAATTCAAAATTACACCCAGACTCTTTTCAATGTTACAATCTGGCCATTTAAAGAGGTCCATTTTATTTAAAATCAGTCTTTGCAAAAAATAGTCACTTTGAATTGGGGCACTCAGCAATGTTATCTGGCTATGAAATGCACATTTATACCTGTGATTTAATTTTTTTTCAGCTCTAATGAAATGAAGGTAATTGCAAATTTGACAGGATTTTCACAGAATAGACAAATTACTGTGGAAACAGGAACAGAAAAGGAACTAAGAGGACACAATGTACTGGTTGTAACTTTTTTTTTTTTTTTTAAAAAAGAGAAGTTAACTTGCATCCTTCCAGAAGGTTTTAGCTGCTTAAGAGATTCCATAAAGAAATCTTCCACAAAGTGAAATATCTGTCAAGTCTGTGCAATCCCAAAACTAGTGCCATGAAGAAATGCTGCTGTTTCCAGGATTATAAAATTGAAAAAATGAAATATGTGCTCCTGACCAAGTACAGTAACACTGCTGTCACTTACATTTCAGCAGGCTGTTAAGGTGATATAATAAATCAGACTATCAGACAGCTTTGGGAGCTTCCATTTGTAATTTGCTAATGCACAGCTCATGTATGACCTTGGTTGCAAAGCACAGCAAAGCTGATCTTAGGCAAACCCACAGAAACAGCGAAGTTGCAGCTTTAAATTTGTCTCCACAATGGTCTGTGGGCTGAGGCTGTGACAGCTTCTCTCGTGTGCACACTGACCTGCCCCTGGCTGCAAGTGGCTCCTGTTGAATCATCAGCTGCACTTTACTGCACTAAGAAGAAAAATGCCTGCCTGCATTTGTAAAATACCATGCATTTTGTTTTAAATCAAGGCAATATGATAATGAATGTTTATGACAGCTCTGTTAGCTGATCAAAAAATTTAAACGGTTTATAAATCTGAGGTTACAGTATGTTCTAATTCATAGCTAAACCTCTTGTCTTCCTGCTGGGCTCAATGTACAGTTAGGGGCTGGTTGTAAAACCCATTTATTATTTCATCTGAGCAAGTATTTCCATAATTCAATTCCTAGCAATGATACAAAACACATCAGGTACAAGACAGACCAGGGAAGGAAAATCATCTCTATTCCTGTGTGACAGATTTCCATAAACTTTAAATTTAAATCAGGCTAAATACAACCATCAACTTTCAGAAATGTTACCAACAGATCTCATCTCACTGGAAAAGGATACATGTATGTTGTCCTTTACCTTGTATTTGCCTTTAATAATGCCTTCAAATAATCTTTCCTTGGTTCCATAAAAAGGCAAACAACCACTTAGCAGGATAAACAGGATCACACCACAACCCCAAACATCTACAGGCTTCCCATATGGTTCTCTTTTTACCACTTCTGGAGCCATAAAGTGAGGTGTTCCTACACGTCCTAAATGGAAATAAAAAGAAAATTGAATCAAGGTGATGTGTGTCAAACATGGAAATGAAGAATATCACTGCATTAAACAAAAAAAACCAAAAAAACACAACTAGTTTTAATACATTTTGTTCATGGTTTAAAGCTTTTAGCACAATTCTTTTTAACCTTAAGTTTATATTTATATTTATATATATATGTAGTGAGATAAATCAGCATTTTCCCTTTTGCTTAATTTTTACTTTTATAAATTGAGGACCAGTCTACCCGAGCTGGCAGAATCTGAAACAAGACTTGTAAGAGCACTGGGACTCTTCAGTGAAAATTCCCATATAAAAATAAACCCATCAATTTGGAAAATCTTTGAAACAGGAATTGTTTAGAGAGCAAATACAAAGATGCTGTAGAGTTCTAGTCCATACTGATAACTTGAAAAGCTGCATCTAACTGGCAAGAGCAGAATTTGGTCTCTGCCCATACCTTGGCTGTTCTACTGAAACTGCCAGCAAAAATGCAAAATGCCAGCAAATGTGTTATTCATTTATTTGAAGAGGGCAGTACCTTACTGCAGATGAAAAGATAATGCTAATTTCACAGAGTGCTTTCATTCAGTGTAATTAATGTTTTCCTATGAAAACAGAATGTATTTAGTACCAACTGATCTTTTGAGCAGATAAAAGTGATTAGAATAATTTTATTCAATTTCTATGTAACACATTAGGCCAAATAAAAACAATGAACATTTTACCTCTCCTTATAAATGTTTCCCATCGTAAACAATTTTGTTTCCATTGGAAAAATAAAGCCTGGAATGCTCAGGTTATCACTGACACAAGCACTGCAGTCTTTGGACTACCCTGGTTCCACCAAGTACCAACAGAAGAAAGAGAACATCAGTGTAGCCAACTTTCACCACCAGTACCTCCTTCTTAAATGATTGTTGCTTACTACAGTGGATTTCAGGAGCTCCATTCCAGGTCTGCAGCACCTGCTGGTCAGGAAAGCCTAAAATGCAGCCCAGAGGTGTTTGCAGGCATGTATTTAACTCAGTCTTGTCTTTGTAAAGCGACTCTTGTTGATTAACCTGTCCTGCTCACCCTCTGCAGGGGGGTCAGCTAAGTCACAGCTCTGAGTACAAACACCGGGGGGACTATTTGGATGTGGCCTCCTCAGTAAAGACCATCCTTTGGTTATCCCACCTAATCCAGGAATATGATCTGACCATGCTCTTTTAATTAGTCCTTTTTGCATTTAAAGGATTAAAATATTGTCAGAAAGACAGCAGCTTTTCAATCATACTCTTAAGAAAAAACACGACCACTGTCAAACTTCTTCATGTGGCTTTATATCAAACATTTCAATCCCAGTTTAGCAATCCCAGGGATTTCCCCTGCCAAACAAATGTTAGGGATCTGTCTGTGACAAAGGGATGTCACCTCATCACCAGGCCAGGCTGGCATCTTAACAAGTCCCTGTAGTCCAGGCTGACCTGACAGCAAAGGGGCAGTTCCTTCCTGAGCTAAAAAAGAATAAACCACCAAGATGCTGCAAGTTCAGCTCATCCCTCAAATCACAGGGGGAGGAGGAAGGATATTTAGTCTGGACAGAGAAAGAGATGTACATGGGGAAAGATGAGTCATTCTTCTTGTGGGCTGCACACACTTTGTAGGTGTATGGCATAATTTCAGCCTGAGAAATCTTGAAGGTAAATCTTCAAAATCACATATATGAAGTACAGAATTATCTCCTTAGATGACTCTCTCAGATGCCTGGTGGCAGGGAAGACAAGGAAAATGGAAATCATATACACACACCCAGTATGCATAACCTGCTGTGATTTTTTTTTTTGGCCTTTTTTATGTGCCACAAAATTATAGATACAAAGTTCGTAATTTTTTCCCCCCTTTGGATGCCATCATTGGTGACAGGAAAAACATCAACATTTCCAGCTCTGTATCATGCTATGCCTGTGCATAAGCAGCAACACCTGCCTGTTCAAAGAGCATTTTTCATCCCTTAGACTGCTCACGTGGTGTTCGTGGTGTACCTACACAGACTGGAAACCTTTAACTCAGGAGATCACGAGAGACCACAGAGAAGGCCTGGCTTACCCAAGTCTTGTTTGTCTCAGTGGGAACTTCCTGAGACTTGGGTGCAAAGGAACCCATTTGCAATTTTTTTTGTGGTACTAAAGCGCACTTAAATATTTTTCATAAATACAAATGGAAAATTGTATATTCTCTGAAAATTCTGCCTTCCCACCATGCTTCGTAATTGCTGTTATAAAATCTGACAAGTGTGGAGAAGAGGGATTATTCTGAACACAAACAGGAGAAATCAGCAGAAGACAAAATATCATGCGGGGTAACAAGCTATTTAAAAGAGGCATTAAGGTACAGTTGTGTGGATAAAGCAGCTAATGAAACCATGAACCTTACATATCAAATGATATCAAAGTTGATTTAATGTGTATTTTCAACAATTATGTGCCAGCCCTCTCAGCTCAGGAACTTTCTGTGGTTTAAGTAAGAAATTGCAGAGATGAGCATGGTACAAAAATGTCTGTGTGCTGTGAGAACAACACTTAAGGGTTTGGGTTTTGGCTTTGGGTTTTTTTTGTCAATGCACTTAAGTCTGCTGGGCATTTTAGTGAAGAGTAACCTAAAGAATATCCTGTGTTCTTGCAAACAATTACATTTTCTGCTGGTGTAAATAGTGTATTTAGCAGCAACACATGCTATAAAAGTAATCCAATAGCATGATGGAGTGTTGGAATTTAGGTGTCAAGTGCTGCTGGCACTGGGGCTGCAGGGGTGGTCTCTGTGAGGAGGGGCTGGAGCTGCCCCATGCCAGACACTGACAGTTCCAATGGGATCACTGCAGGGCACAGCTCAGCCCAGCAGTCAGGACAGTGGTGTGAGAAAGCAGGGAAAGTGTGTGTAAGAAAGGGAAAAAAACCTGCCCAGCAAGTGAGGAATTTGGGAACTGCCACTTCCCATCCTCCCTGAACCACCTGGGGCTGGGGGGAGAGTCAGGACTGAGGGAGTGAAGCTGAACCTGGGAAGGTGAGGAGAGGAGGTAGTTTAATTTCTGTCTTTGATTCCTACTATCCAAATCTATTTGATACTTCAAAGCTCCTCTTTTGCTTCATCTGGTGACCTCACATCAGAATGTGAAGCTGCACCTTCATTTAGTGCTCAAGTGCTCTTCCAAACAGACAAATGGTCAAAAACCAGTCCCTCTCTGATCATCACACATCTTCTTTCTGGTCCCCAGAAGTTAGAAGGTGTTTCTTCCATCACAGGTAGAACTCACTCATTGTTGGCCTGGTCCAAACCCAGGACACAATAAAATCCACTTTGATGAACTGCTTGTCGTGGAGCAGAAGTTTAGTAAAAGGTTTAGTAAAAAGAAACACTATATGGCTGTTTAAGTTCCCACCAGGCTGCTGCCATAAACCAGATGAAAAATGGATGTTACTTAAAAGCACACTGAAAAATCAGTGCTACTAAACCTTAATACTCACATTTAAATTTAAAATGAGAACTCCATAAAATACAAAAGAAATGAAAAAGAAAACCAGGCTAGGTTAATGAAATTCTGTCATTTACCATTGCTACATTATAATTAGTGGAAACAGAGACAGATTTGGTTTTATTAATGCTGATTACAAGATCTCAGTACTGTAGATGAGAGGGATGAGGTGGATACTTAATGGTGGTGGAAATTACAATTTTATGTCCATGAAAAAGCAAACCCAGAAGAAGCAGAAATGCAACTGGTTGAGACTGGACTGTCCAACAGACAAACAGGGTCAAAAAATGCACATAGATGTGTTCATATGTATTGGAATCTTAAAAAGGCTACAGCAGTTTCTGGGCCAGCTGTTATCCTTGTGACCACTCCACTGGGTTCATCAAAGGAGCAAATGATGATTTTGAAGTTATTCTAAAAGCTGACCCAAGCAAGGACTATTCAAGCTGCACCTTTGAACTGAACTTAGCTCAGGAAAATGAACAAAGTACACACGTGAACTTACACAGATGGGGAATCTTCCTGTGTTGCAACTACAAGAACCGTATGGAATCTCAGTAACAGCATACATACAGTCAACAGACAACGAAGTTGTCTAAACACATGGATATTCACTGCCCTTTAGATCAAACATAATTTCCACTGAAAATTATTTAGTAGAAAATCTGCCTTCTAAACATGCCCAGTGTAAAACTTTAAAATTCTTCTAAACAGCTCAGTTTTAAAATATTTTAGAAACTTTCAAATTTTCTTTGGTATTTTGGGAGAAATTCTGCATCTTTTTGAAGGCAGTGTGAGAAAGAACAGTAAGCAAAGGCACTTTTCTCTGAAACAGATAACTTCTGCCTTTCACAGGCTTTTCATTCTTCGGAATATAAGCACATTCATGAATATATTCAAATGACTGCATGAAAAAACAACATTTTAATTTAATATAGATTGTATGCATGCACACACAGAGGATTTTTAGTTGTATCCATATATGAGAAGAAATCATAGGGAAGATTGGAATAAATTTTCTGCCTGTGTGCATTTAAGTTCTTTGTTCTAGATTGGCACTAACTGAAAAATCATCACTGTACAAAGACTCATCAGAGGCATGTGGTCAGTGTGATACCTGCCTCCATCCACCTCACTGTAAATGCCTACACCAAAGTGTTTGCCGAGCTAGGAGGCTCTCAGTGCCTGGACAGGGACATCCAGGTTACATTGGTAAGGATACCTTATTTCTAGAGGTAAACTTTCTTACCAGCCAGTTTTTAAGGCATGTTGGCTGCCTGTAAATTTATAAAGTTGCTAATTTTGCTGATTTTTCCTGTGGATAAACAGAGAGCTTCAGTCTTCAGGTGCTGTCAATCTGACAACATTTACAAGCACTAAAGATAAATTTTGACTTACCTTTGGTAATTTAGTTTCTATGACTCTTTCCATATTATTCCAGACAATAGGACTATGCTTTCCACAAGAAGAAGAGTATATACAGAGACCCAATCAGATTTTGTCATCCCTAAGGCAGGGGACTGATGACCAAGATATCAGAAGGAGAGTCTTTCAACAGCAGTAGTATCTGAACGATGTATAAGGAAACAACTGGAACAAATAATTTTTAGGAAAAAAAATGTGAGGTACTAGTAAACATCACCATCTGACCTCTCACAATAGTGTAATAAGAAATATGCTCACAAATTAAGGTGTTTCTAAAAGAGTGGGATGTCCAGAATAATGTGGAAGGAATCAAAGAATCACACACAACAGATCAGAGAGGGCAGTACTTTACTACTATTAATTCCTTTCCACATTACTCCAGACAATAGAGATGTTTAAAGCAGGTTTACAGAGAAGATGAGTAGATTAAAAAAAAAAAAAAAAAAAAAGGAAAAATGGGGGTAGAAAAAGGGGTAATTCAGCTTCAGCACAGAAGATTGTCTGAAGAAAAGGTGTTTAAAAGATGCATCAGCAGACAACTGGACCACTGGATATGAGTGTCCAGAAAACAAACAAAGCAAAGCTCACATGTTAATGAGACTAATTATAATTAATTCAGTGGCCTTTTCTGCCATAAAACTATGATGGTAGAAGTAAACCTAAATGATTTCTCAACACATTAGCCTCCTGTAAGCACTCTCAAATCAGCCCAGACGTGAAGCGGAATTTCTGTGAGACAGTAAACCACAGCTGTATCTTTTAAACAAAACAAAGTCTCTTTAAGGCAAAGCTGTGAAGAGACTCACATTATTTTATTTTTCAGGAAAAAAAAGAAGTGAAAACATTACCCTGTAAGAGAAAGAAGAATAGTAGTGTAGGATCTCAGCTTAAAAAATTTTACTTCTCTTTGGAAAACAAATGAAAGCTTTGAAATATCATTCAGACTCTGATGATGAAAAGGAAGAAGCGTCTGCACAGTATAAACCTCTACAACATTAAAAACAAAACAAACAAACAAAAAAAAAGTTTTCTAACATGGGGTTTATAAAACCACCAAGATTCAGTTTGGTGAAGCACTGAAGATGCTGTCCAGAGAGGTGACAGATGCTCCACCCGTGGAGACACTCAAGATCAGGCCACTCTGACCAGCCTCATCTAGTGGAAGGTGTTCTGCTCCTACCAGAGGGTTGGACTGGATGAGCTTTAAAGATCCCTTTTCAACCCAAACCATTCTATGATCATTTTTACACTGATGAGAACGAACCCCAAAATAAGCAAATCTAAAATATTCTGTTCCCTTTCCCCCCATTTCATAGTCTTAATTAGAAGGAAATTTATGGCAATGCCTTCCTGTGCTGTTCTGGTGGTAAGTCTAAAAACACAGCTCACAAGGAACCAAGAGCACTTGGTATTTATGTGCTGTACTGCTACTAAGAACACATAAGATGTTTTCCAATAAGATGATAATTTACATTAGGATACTACAGGATTTTGAGGCAGTCTAGGATATCTAACTAACGATACATGAAAATTAATACTAGACTGGATTAGCATTATGGTGTCTGTGACATTTTGCTGCTGAAGGTGAAATGTGAAAGGCAGTTAACAATACCCAGATAAAGAACCTCATCCTACTTAGACCTATACAGTTATCTTTGCGCTAGCTGAAACCAGGAGAAACTAAGTAGATTAAGTGAAGGAAATATCAGTTGTGAACTCAATGGTTTTTGTCCTTCAGACTTTTATACCATATACTAAAAATCCCAAGATTTAGCATCTAAGATATTAGATATCAGATAAATCTGATGTCACATATTAGAAAATACTGTGACAATTCATACTATGCTCTGCAAGAAAAACTCTTCAAGGAAGGAGACAGAGATCATAATGTGAGATTAGTTTGTTAAATCACTGACTTCCCAGAGGTTCCACTACTCCAGCTGCATCATAACAATGCCACACAGACTGTTTACTGTCTTATGGAACTGTGCTGCTCCTTAAAGGAATTCACTTATAAATTATGATGTTCTCTAACTCCTGTGTATACTGCCAGAGTTCCTTTATAAGGTACCTACTTCAAGGCTTCAAGTGAAGCCCATAGCACAATTTTCCAGTACTGATCGTAAGAACTGAAGCAAGAAGAGACTTTCAGAGATTGGTAGCTCATGAAACCTATTTCCTCTAGCTCAGATGACAACACATGATTCCTAGCCATTTATTGCAGCTTAGGGGCAAATGGAGTGGAAAAAAGAATATTTCCTTACATTTTTCCCTCTGGTCTTATAAAGAAATGAGTTATGGCTATGTCCTTTTTTTTGTACTTTATTTTACTTACATAAAGTAAATAATAACCAGTAATTGAACTTTTATTAAAAATAATGTCAACTGAGTTGTTAGCTGATAAAATACAGTCACTCCTAAAATCTCCTCCATACACATTTTCACCAATGACATCTAGAACGACGTCATGGCTTGTTCTCATGAGCTCTCTTACACTTCCGTAAAACAGTTGTCTACCTGCTTGAAAGAAAGAACCCTGTAGTTACAAACTTTCTAAACTTCACAAGTCTGTCTTTGGACTTACATCAGAAGATTTTAATACCTAGGGTTTAATTTAACTCCACTACAAAAAATCCTTCCCCAGCAATTTATGCACACTCTGATAAAGATGTCTTCGTCAAGTCAAAAAATGTTAGTCCCAAATAAAGCAAAAGCTGGATGCTTGAAGACTGGCTTCAAACACACCGAGGGAGAAAATTCCCTTTAGTTTGTTTTCCTGGGGCTACACAGAATCTGGGATTGCCAGGCACAGGTGTGTCAAGGTGTACAGAAGTAGGAAAAACAGCACAAACAAAGCACAGGGGATTTCAGGTCAGGAAAATTATCTTCATGCCATGATAGATTTTATTTAATAGAGAATTTCTTTTTTTTATGTACTAACCACCAAATGCAGCCATTCCCATGCTAAAAGGGAAATAAAAATAATGCCATGCTCAAAGGGAAATAATTGACTACGTCAAGATGAATCAATGTTTTCCACTAGAAATTAGAAAAGCAATGTGAAAGTGAACAGGTCGGTTATGATGCTGCTCTGAGTTCTCTATTTGGAGAGTTTCTACTTTTTTATGAGACAACTGAGAAATAAGAAGTGCCTGTAAATTATTGTTACTATTATGACAAAACTTATCCATACGAATAACACCCTTAAACAAATGTTTAGATAAACACTGATTTACAAGGAATTTATAGTCCAGTTCAAACAGCCAGTATTGACAGCTTTCATATAACACGTTATACTGTAAAACTGAATAAATAAGACCTTGCTAATTCTGTGTAATTTGTCTTCAGGTAGGGTTCTGGCAGGGAAAATAAATGCCAGGATAACAGAGGTAGTTTGTGCTTAAAAGACTGGAATGAAAGATGAGAAGAAAGAGAGGAGTCTGTTAAGGAGACTTTCCACAGTATATAAATGGACTGGAATTACTCTGGGTATCCCTGAAAATGAGTGGAATTTGAAGCTGAAAGCAACAAGTGCCAATGAAAATTGGCACTTGCAGATTGGAGATGCCAGTTGAGAAAAAGGGAAAAAAAATTGTGTGAAGGCAGACCAACATGGCAGAAATCGAGGTGGAAGAAGCAAAAGACACTGATAAATATCAAAGTGATGAGGTTTGGGATCTTCAGTGAGGGCTGCAAACAGAAACCCCAGCACTGATCACTGCTGGAGGTTGAGCACAGGAGCAGTGAGTGGGATCACAGCACTGGGAACAGTAACACAAAAGGAAGGCTATGGCAAACTTCGGGAAAATGCAGTAATTTTTTTTTTTCAAAATTGAACTTGAATTTTTTTTGCTATACAATTGGTAATGTGAAAGTACACTGCATGTGACTACCTCCAGAAGAGTGGCTGAAACAGAAGAAGTGGGTAAAGTTGCTCAGCAGAACATAAAGAAGAAAAATGAGGTTATTATAAACAAAAGTGTAGAAACTATCACTAAAAAAAGCAGTGACTGAGGTACAGATAATTTGAGTAACACAAGAAAAGTAAAGAAAGCAGTGACCTTTTTATTACAGCTTAACGGAATGGGTATTTTCTTGGAAAAGATGTCTGTAGTTAATAAGATACTTGGATATTTCCAGGGCATCAGCAATATCTGAAAGGGAATGGAAGCTGTTGATACGTTTATATTTGATTCGTTTTTTATTTAAAAAAATGTACAAAACTCAAATTGACACAGAACGTTAAGTGATTAAATTAGGAAATCTGAGATTCTGAAGATGCATGGTACTGAAGAAAGTTACTAATTCTGAAGAAAAAAATATTAAAACTAAGAAAATGTTTTGTTGTGGTCTCCTATTCTGGCAATGAAAACACCAGAAAATTGATTGGGTCTTCATCTGTGCAGACTGATTAAAGCACAACCCTATTGTCTGGAACAATATGGAAGGCAGCTAGAGGAAATAAAATCCACAGAAAACAAAACACAGTCAAAAAATATACACACGTATCAAGATATTGATGTCTTATGCAGTAATTACAATGAAATTTTAAAACACAGAAAAGAATCACATGTCAAAACCAGTAAGATTTTGCAATTAAACAGCACAGCATTCTGACAGGAATTGTTTATCAAACAGGGGAGCACTGATGATGCTGCACTAAGTCCTTACTCAAGTGCTTCAATGACTGCATTTTTATTTTCTTTGCCTTACCAAGCATGGCAGAATTAAGCCAAAGCTTGTATTAAAGTGGAAAATTCTTTGGGTTTTTTCAGTTTTACTTTGCTCAAACCAGCATGAGCTCCTTTTGAGTAACATACAGGGATTTAATAACGTTTGAATGCAGGTTACATTCCACTACCAATTCAGCTTGGCTGTGTGCATTTACCATGTTAACTGAGTCTGTAGTGAAATACTATTTTTGAAGTCTTGTTTTGCAGGCCAGGCTGTGTCAGAAGAACAGAACTCTGCAGTACAACATGCACAATGCTAAATAACTGAGAAGGAAAATTTCTTACCTCCAGCAACTAGCCCAGACTCTCCTAACTGAATTGCTACCCCAAAGCCACCAAGCTTTACTGGGGCTGAATTCTCTTTTGAGGCAAGCAGTACACAGTGTGGCTGAAAAGACAAAAATCCAGACAAATTATTACAATGTTTGAGAAAAATAATCTGTATTTTAGAATGTACTTCCATAAATCTGTGAGCAGAGGTTAGATTTTGTTTTTTTTTAAATAATTTCTTAATTTCAATTATCTTCTTTTCTGGCACGGACTCCTCTTTCTACATTGGCTTTCCTTCTATTGCCCCAGGCATAGCAAAATCCTTTCAGAACTTATCAGAACTAGCAAGGAACACAAAATGAAATCATGGTAAAACGGAGATAAAAACCTCATGTCCATAATTTCTTACCTGGTATTACTTTTCCTTTTTGTCTTTCATCCTATTAACCCTTACACTGTTTCAATTCCCCAGCTGAATTATCCTGCCTATTATACATTTTGTGGAGTCTTATCCTTCCCACACAGAGCATAAAACTCTGTTTTGAGCCTTAATCACAGAATTCACTCTGCACTTCTCAAGAAAAGGAACACTCCTGGAATATTCCAGTGAGGGATACACTTTAGGTGTCTAAACTGGATTCCAGCAATAGGCATCTATACCTTTGGTTTTCCACATATAAGAGTGAGGTGTAATGTATATAAATGAGGTAATATTTTACAACAATTCAGATGGGTACTGAGTGCTGTAGGAGGAAGCAACATATAGAAAAAATCTATTAGAACACAATTTGGTATTAAATACACATACCCAAACAATTGCATTTAATTTAGAACTAACTTCCTGCATTTACTCAAAGCCTCTATTTTCAATACCATATTATTTAAAATGAAGAACCTCAAATTTGTATACTACTTCCTGAGAATACATTACTGCTTAAATTGCAAAAGAACTCAAAAGAGCAAAAGAACTCAAAAAAGTGCACAGGACCTACCAGAAGTTCCTTCTGACTACCTGTGAAGTTATTATCTCTAACCACCTGTGTCTTTTTGTAAAAGCTTAAATTATATGAGAACAAAGACCTTCAAAACAACGTTCTTGAGATCTTAATTTAATTTAGGCCTTGTCATATTAGGTCTTCTAGAATTTACTCTTAAATTTTCAATTTAGAAATGTAATTTTCAATTCCTTATGCGTCACTTGAAAGAATATTAGCAGGTGGTATTATTGTTGCATATTGTATTTCACTTCTGCTTTAGTGAAATGGTTAAGATGCACACTTCGGGCACTTTCACATCCTCTCGTCACTGTCATTTGGAGTGACAAAGAATTCTAATTCCAGGCAAGGAGAAAGGTAGATGGGAGAACTATATAAACATTTACAAAATGCCCCATTACACTGTGGTGTTGACTTATCTTCACCCTCTACTGGAAAAAAGTGATGCTATTTCCACGAAACATTAAAGAGATGACAGATTGTACCAACATCATCATCACCCAGAAAACCACTGGCACTGCTCACCAGAAACAAAATCTCTGAGAAAAAACCTTCGGATCTCCAATTCAGAACAGAACTGAGAAAAATTTATTACAGAACCTCTCTCAGCAGAGCCCAAATAAACTGGGTATAGCCAGTTAAAAATGCCTTTAAAAAAACAAAGGAAACCAGTTGCAACACCAGTTAAAACTTCCCCCTGTTGCCAATAGTACGAGTCAGCTGGAGCTCACCACTTTCAGAGAGAAGCTGCTGCTGCAGCTTTCTAATAAAAGGACCCGCACGTTTCGCCTCCCTGTCTTTACCAGTGCTTTTGAGAACCAGCAGAACTTCTTAGCACATAAATGGTAAGTGACTTCTTTTATACTTAAGTTGTAGTTCTCTTAATAACAATTCTCTTAATATCTAGGTTTAAGCACATCTGCTTGCTTAGAGGTGACACAACTTACAAGAGTGAAAAGTTTTGTTCCCAATCCATTTGCAGCGTAACCCAAGTTTCTCTCTCATTGATCTAAACTTCCTTATACAAGTCCCCACATCAAACATTTCCACAGAAAAGCAATTTAAACATGAAGTCATTGCAGTAGATGGGTTTCAAGATGTATTTGAAAACACTGCAGTTTGAAATCAGTCTCTTGAAATTACGTGCCCTGACATTATCATGTGGCAAGAAGTATGAGAACAGCTGGTTTTGAAACTGCTAATGTACCCTACCACTTTAATGGAATTGTAGGGTCAGACAACACAGAATGTTAAAATGTTTTAGACTCTCAAGAATTCAGATTTTGTAAGTACATTAGGTCTTCTTAAGAATTTTGCCTAAAGTGTTGCCATTTTCACTGCTGTGGCTGCATCACAGAATTAAATGTAAATTTGCATTTTTTAAGACCTAGCGTGCAAATTGCATGGCCTAGACACAGACCTAGCATAAAAGTTATTTTAAGATTACATATACAGCAGTGTTTCTTTGTTTGTTTTTTTTTTTTTCCATAACAGTTGCCAGACAACTAAGTTCAGAGTGCTAAAACCACTTCTGAAATTTTTGTGAGATTACAGGAAAAAACCTCTTTCCACTGTAAAACAAAAACATTCTAAATAAATTTTTTTTATGGTACTTCTTGCTGCTATGACAAACAAGAAAAAGACTAAAGTTTTATCATTACTGATCAGTGATAACCATCTCCCTAAACGCCTTCATGCTCTCCAAACCACACACTTGGTTTTCCTTTGTTGGTCAAGGTGAATTTTATGTTTCACATTGTACCTTCCTGGTCAGCAATAAGCTTAGTGAAATTAAAAACTATTCAATGAAAGTAAAGAAAACCACGAAAACAAAAAAGGTTCGAAAACTGTTACCGCATTATTGTGATTTCCAGTTTATAGTAGTTTATTTGTGTAATACTGATTTGTGAATAGCCAAGGAAAAAAACCACATTTATGTGAAGGCACAGATTATTAAAGACAAGCTATTGCAATAATACTGTTTCACAGATTTACTTATAACACAGTACATAGCCAAATAAATATTATTAATTGATGAATGCTTTTTAATTGAGAAGCAGTGAGTTGCATGTGAGAGATTTGAATTATTTAAAATTAACACAGATGAGTTAAGACTTCCTTTAATATACTTCTATGTACTTTATGTCAACACTGAGAATACTTAGCTATGCTCACCCGTCCCTGCATCTTAGTTAAAATTTTTACTGTGCTAGAAATCCTGGTCCTAAGAAGTGAACTTAAAAAACGTATTTATTCTTATAGATGAAGAAAATTCTTAAGTTTTCAGGAAAATGTAATAGTTAATTTTTAAAACAACACAAAACAGTAAAAATGCTGTAATTACAGAAATATTTATCTGTGAGTACTCTACACTATCTGATCTTTCTTGCCTGCAGATTACCTAGACTTATATTATTTTACGATATCTGGCTGAAACTCCTTCTATTCAGCTACACCGACACTTGGTGCATTTATTCCTTTTAGCTCCTTCCTTTTATGTTTATACCACATTAAACTGTAGGCTATAAAGCAGACAGACACTTGAATGGAGATTTAATTCTTAAATTCTCTGTCTTTTTGCAGAACAGCTAAAACTCTTTCGCAAATGATGGCTGCAGCAACTTCAGCTGATTTACCAACCATTGGTCCACACAAGGAAGAATTTTGGAGTAACCAAACCAACCTGACCATAAATGCCTCAGAAAGCCACAATCATGCCAGCTGTTCCGTGGATGATAATAACTCACTGTCACTTGCTTTGATAATTTTTTACTCCATTATTTTTGTTGTTGGATTGGTTGGAAATATTGTAGCCCTGTTTGCTTTCCTGGGCATTCATCAGAAGAGGAATTCTATCCAAGTTTACTTGCTAAATGTAGCTGTTGCAGACCTCCTGCTCATCTTCTGTCTTCCCTTCCGGATCCTCTATCATGCCACCAACCACTGGATGTTTGGGCGGATTTTTTGCAAGGTTGTGGGAACTCTGTTTTACATGAATATGTACATTAGCATAGTACTGTTGGGACTAATTAGCCTGGATCGTTATATAAAAATAACTAAGTCTGTGAAGCGTCCAAAGATGCTAACCACTACCCGGAGCGTGCAGATCTGTTGCACTGTGTGGGCGATTGCGCTGACAGGATTTGTAGTGGTAGTTGCACCATCTTTCTTTAAGACTGAGGACAGCAACTCCACCAAGTGCTTTCATTACCGAAGCAAAAAGAATGCAGAGAAGACAGAAGCGATTTTGAATTATATCACTGTATTGATTTTTTGGATAGTTTTTTTCCTTTTGATACTTTCGTATGTTAAAATTGCCAAGAACCTTCTGAAAATTTCGAGGAGAAGGGCAAATTTTCCCAATGCAGGAAAATACACCAAGACAGCAAGAAATTCCTTCATTGTTCTCATAATTTTCACCATCTGTTTTGTGCCTTATCACATGTTCCGGGTTGTCTACATCACATCACAGTTACAAAACCCATCCTGTTACTGGATGGAGATCATTCACACCTGCAATGAGGTAATGCTCATATTTTCATCATTTAACAGCTGCCTAGACCCAGTTATGTATTTCCTAATGTCCAGAAGTGTCCGTAAGACTGTATTCCGATTGATTTGCACAAAGCTTCATGGAGAGTCAGGCCTAAACCTGGAGAGCACTTCAGACATAAAACTTGGCCAATACGCTCAAGAGCGATTATCCACCACCACTCCTCACTCCAGCTACTCAAGGAAGAAGTCTGTCATTTGAATGTTTAAATGGATCTCTCCAGGTCACCAATTTCAGATCACAAAATCCTTTACTCTACAGCTACTAATTCTGTCTCTTTCCTCCTGTTAAGAAAAAAGAGAAGTCGTACTTCTGGTTTGTGAAAATGAGAAGTTACTTTTCAGAAGAATTTTTTCGCTCTTGTTTATCCAAGAAAACAAATTAGGAAGTTCTCATTTTGTGTTGGACTAAACTAGAACACTAACTCTTTAGGGACATTTCCACAAAGGGGTTTGAACCTGTAAAAGTAAACTTGTATATGCACATTAATATTAGTAGCTTGTGTATGTAAATAATAGATGAATTTTGCAAAAAGGAAATTCTGTCCGATTTGAAAGATGTAGATACCATTACAGATTTTATGTATTTTATGGTTTTCTCTGTTTTAATAGGTTTCCAAGAGATCAGTATTTTTGCTACATTTATAAATGCATTTTTAAATAAAATATTTGAGAATTTAGCAACACGCGTCTCAAAAATGAGGTGAAGAATACAACATCCATCAATTCAGTTTTAAGTACAGAAGATACTCTTAGTTTCATTAAGCAGCAAAATTAAAATATTCAATCCTACTAAAGACCCTTGTATTTCCAACATTTTAATGAGTGTCAAGGTCAAACACCTGAGGAAAAGCAAGCAATGCTTTCAGAAAATTCTAAATAAGTGAAGGAGAGATGACATGGGTATTTCCTAAGATTTCCTTCAATGTGACAAATTTGATGACTACATGAAGTAGCTCAGCAAGGAACTCACAGCCAGGCTCAGCCCCTGGTCTACTCCTAGATTTCCAAAGCCACGCATTTCAGCTGCATGCTTCCTCCCTGGCAGGGGACCTTTCCTTCCGTGTGATTAAAATAATTTTGATAATTGCTGATGCCATGTGAACAGCAATGTAATAACAGTATTTCATAGCTACAGCTACATTCTCAGATACTAAACAGCCGTATGTATTTAGGCACAAACAAATTCCAAGCTGTAACATTTCTCAAAAACCAGAGAGCTGAAGGTGGGGAATGTCTGGCACCAAGATGAATAAAGCAGCACAACCATGAACAAATTAAATGTCTGGCATAAGAGACCAGAAAGGTGAAAGATACAGAGGCCAGACATCAAGCTCTGTAAAATAAGGATTTATTGTCTTTACACACACAAACAATACTGCTCAAATAAGTAGGTGTAAAGAAGTTGGTTTTAATATGACTACCAGCAACTTCTTTAATGGATCGTGTGACTTTTAATGCCAAATCTGTGCCAAAATGTGTGAGTTTTTACTAATTCCATACAATATTCTGATTTTACAGAAGATACTCATAATACTGTGATTGAACAAAGTAAACATAAGGCTTCACCTCAGCTAGATATAAAGCTTGGTTTAATTTTGATGTGAATTTACATCATTCAGATTTGATGGAACTGGATATAAACACGTCAAACAAATTACAATGACTAGCCAGTCTGTTTTTTGTTTTCCTTTTTTTTTTTTTTTTTAATAAAATTTAGGGGGTTTCCTTATCTTCAAAAGAAAGATTCCCACAAATGTGTAATTTCATAGAGATATGATGGTAACTGACTTTTACTTAAACATTTCAGCATACAACAGAGGTGTTTGTACAATAACTTCTAACTGATTCTCACAGAAATTGCATTTCAGGATCTTTTATCTATCATTTTGCCATCCTATTATTTTAATGCTTCTCTTGGTTTTGTATTTCTACAGTGCAATTTTATTTGCAATATTGTAGTTCTACATAATTACATCAATTCTGTTACATCCAGGAGAGCTTATAAACCATAATTTCACAAGATATATATGTTATCTCATCATTCTTTCTTTGCTTATTCTGTGAGCAGTTGGTTGATGATACTGAGCAGCAGGTTGGGGTGAGGGTGTGGGATGGGGAACTCAGGAGAGGACAGGCATGAACAACAGCAGCTTGAACAAAACGCGATTTCTAAAATTCTTTTGAATGAAGTGTTAGACCAGAATTTTCATTTGCAAGGTCTGTAATTCATGGACACGGCAGTACTGCCAAAATAACCTCCGATCTCTTCAGAAGATCACAGGGTTTCAATACTGAAAATCCAAAATGCATTAAATTAATCAACTCTCCAGCTCAGAAATGAAAATCTGAGAGGGAACATGTCTATAAGAAAATCTCTAAGATCAGGCATGGCACAGAAGAGGGGAACAGGAATGACCACATGATCTTGACAAAGTGCAGCTTTAAGGGAGCAGCACTCAGAACAAAGAGACAACCACAGAAAGCAATCAGAAAATACTTTTGGATTTCTACAACTGTATAAATCAATGCTTCAAGATGTTAAAGGCCAGATATATCAACTGGCTCAGAAATGGATCTGAAACCAGACAGCACCGTCATGTAGGAAGCAGTCACTACTGACCAAGAAACAAAAGCAGATATATTTACTCTTTTAAAAAAAAATTAATTCCTAATTTTTTTTTTCCCTGCAATCAGTTTTCCCAAATTTGAGGGTAAAATGCCAGGCCTTACAAGAAAATATTACTGAAGAACAAACAGTCTGGAAACATCTTGGGAAACCTGCTGAAAGTCACACTGTGACGTGCCAAACGACCACAGAATTAGTTACTCAAATAGTGTCTTAATTCTCTTCCCAGTGCTTCCTGATTACCCGAGTCTTCAGGTGAATTTTAACATAAAGGTAATTCTATTTATTTTGGTTTCTGTATTTAAAAGCTAACTCAACACACATCCCCATATAACTGCACGAACCTCATTTTCCTCTTCACTCAAATCTATAAACACATACTTGAATTTCAGCTGATGTACCAAAATGTACCAGTCTTGTGCTGGTTTTGGCTGGGATAGACTTCTTCACAAGATGAGCTGTGGTTTGGGCTTGTGATCCAAACAGTGTTGACACCGAGGGATGCTTCAGCCATTGCTAAGCAGCCCTTGCACAACAAGCAGGACTTCACTGTCTCTCAGAACACCCCAGCAGAGACAGGCTGGGGGGGCACAAGGACACGGGAGGGGACACAGCAGGGACAGCTGGCCCCAGGGGTATCCCAGAGCACATGCTGCCATGCTCAGCAGTAAAAGCCAGGAAGGAAGCTTGGCTGTGTTGCTGTTTTTAGGATCTCAATGGGCACTGGTCAGATGGGGTTGCTTTCTATCACTTGGGTTTTTTTGTTTTCTTTTTCTTTAAGCTTATTAAAGTCTTTCTCACAAACCATGCATTTCCACTTTTACCCTACCGGTTCTGCCTCCCAGCCCACTGGAGAGGAAGTAAGTGAACGTGTGGGATATAGGAGCTTTCTGGGATAAAACCACAAGCACCTCCTTTGGTAGATACTGGCAGATTTGATCAGTGTGTCAGACAAAGCAGGAGGGAGCACCAGAAGGGGAGGTGCTGATTCTTCTCCCCATCGCACTGAGGGGCAGTGAGTGAGCAGCTGTGAGGGCTCACCTGCCTACCAGGGTTAAAGCACAACATCAACTTTCATTTTTGCACTGACATTAAATGCAGTTATGGTATTAACTTGCACACTGGTGTTTCTGAGGGCAGACAAATAGCAATTACAAAAGAGGAGTGCAACTTACACCACTGGAAAACAAGTGAGAATCGCATTATTCCCAGAACTGGGAGGTTCACATATGGAAGCTTTAGTCTGATGCTCTGACAGCACACAAGGCTGGGAGAGACAGTGTCAAAGCCTTGCTGAAGTCGAGGAATTCCACCACTGGGAATTTCCTGGGGTTTGTGTTTTTAGGGCCAGAAAACAAGTTGTCTGCATATAATGATGAAATGCAACATATGCTGCCTATTGCCAGTATAAAATCTAGAACATGCATAAATTAAGAATGATCAGGGTTCAAGAATAGAAAAAATGTAAATCATAGAGGTGAATGACACACATGAAAATAATTATGATGAACTTAAAGAGTGAATGGCATAAAAATGCATGTGTTCCATTTGAGTATCTTCAAATACATTTTAGATAGAACACACCATTTGTAAGTTAGGTGAATGGAAATAGTCCACTAAAAGAATAAGGAAGGTGCTTGCTACAGCTGAGAACCAACTGCAACTGTATTCCTGGGACAGACAGCATTTTTAAAAAACTTGTAATACCTCATTACTTTGTTACTGCCCTCAGTAATCCATTCCAAAATAAAGTCTGACAGACTCTAGTTCACTACAACAATCTATTATCATACAATAATTCAGAAAAAAAATGTAACAGTTATCTCTTCTTATAGCATGAGTTATTATCACTAAATTATAAATACTACAGGCAACAGTCAATACCCAACCAAATAATACTAGCAATTTAAAAAACCTGCTAACTGGAATTGTTCACACCTCTCTCAGCAACTTTTCAGAATAGGCATTCTTGTATCTAAATATCAGTGGAATGCCACAGCAACAAGGACTTCTAACACTACTTAAACTATTAAACATGTCATAAATAGAAGACTCTCTGTCAGAACGGTTTTTAATATAATATACATTCAAAAGTGGAAAACAAGGTATAATTAAATTTAACAAGAATTAAAGTACATGCAAACTAATTAGAGTTTTACAACCTAATCACTAATACTTCACAGCAAATAAATGTAATTGTAAATTAGTTCTGCTATGAATTCAGAATACAAAGCCAGCTTATATATCCATTATTTTAGAAAAAAAATTAGTAATAATGAGACTGAACAACGATAACAGATCATGAGGTGAATTTATGCTTAAACATAAAGCCCAACTAGCAAAACAAGAACTGTACCAAACTTCTGTTCTCATAAAGGAACTCATTTATAGGTGTTGAAAAGCCTTATCTTACAACCACAGATGTATCGGAAAACAAGTCTCAAGTTCTGAAGAGGTGACCAGAATTTGCTCTGTGATCATATCTATGCTGTGAAGGAAGGAAACTGTCCTGTGTACACCTCTGGATGATTTGCGTGAAACACTGCATTTCTTGAACAGTGAGTCAGTTCATTTTCCCTGCCAGAACCCTCGGATGCATCAGGTGTAAATTGCTTCCCCACAATCCATCCCCTGAGCACACAGAAGAGATGTGTCCATTTGGTCACTGATGTGAGGACACACATGGACACAGCACTACTGCACGTGGCCTTTGGGAATAGTCAGCTTGGTGACAGCTTGTGGAGCTGAAAAACTGTTAATACCACAGAAAAGACAAGTTTTCATGCATAAAATAGCAGCGTGAAGGAAAGTGGGCAGTCCTAAAGAGAACCCCTCCACGCCCCAAAAGAGGAAAGCTCCATATGAAGGATTACAAGGTGTTTCTGTGCCGTACCTAGAGGACAGCTGCTCTTCCATGCTACCTCCATCTTTTTTTTTCCCTAATGGAGCGGATCCTGACTTAATTTTAAAGCCTTTTTTGTACAGACATCATATTTTCTGAACTTTAAATGCCTGCCTGCCTCCTGACATTGTAAAGGGGAAGTGTACACTCTGAAAACCTAGTTATGCCAGAGAGAAAATTTTAACTGTACTCTCCAGATTCCAGTGCCATCATTTTCACTGCAGCAGTGGAGATTAAACAGATATCAGACAGAAGTATTTCCTCTCAGCAAGGGAAGGTGCCTGCAGCTTGTACAGGTAAGCTTAAAATTACTACTTCTTTGTTTTACCTGATGAAATTTGGTCAGTTACACAAAAAATTTCATTAGACTTCTGAAAATCAGTAAATTCAACAAATACTTTGTGAATTCAACTCATTATAATAGAAGAATTTAATAGATTTTGGTTCAACAATACACATAGAACTTAGTGTACACTAAAATGCAATAGCTATAAAAGTTATTTTTATTTGCAAGTTTGTCAAACACTGCCTACAGTGTTTGACAGTTTTTATACTTGGTGTCTGGGCTTTTATCTTTGCTACACCGAATCCTCTTCAGCATCTGAGTTCATTTGTTTACAACTGTTAAAAAAAATTATTTTTAGTCTCCAAGTTTGAAATCTGTTTTTTTTTTTTTTCCATATGATTTGATATGAAAAAAAAAACTACCTAGGATACACTCCACTAAAACATGCATGTATATCTCTGCATACAAAAGTAAAAACTCTCCACTACAGGGCTGTTAGCTGAAATGTCACTTTTTACACACAGTCATTGCACAGAGCTTTCATTTCTTATTTTCAGTTTGAAAATGGAGAAAAGACTGAAAAATGAACTTGGAAAAAAAATTTATATACTGAAGTTTTCAACAATCACTGTATATACTAAAGAATATAGACTGAGTTGCTAAATGTACATCTGACATTAGAGCTGTGATAAAGTAACGTCACATACAGACATGAGCACAGAATAAATATATATAGTGAGATTTTTGCAGTACACAGACTAATTTATAGCTAAATGGAGGTACAGATACTCTTCTCCATTTCTGGAATTAAAGTAATTCTTTGCACTTAATTTGTTCATTTAATTTTAAATGGTCTGTAAGTGGTTTCCAAATTAGGTTACAGACATTCCAGAAGACTGAGAAATAAACCAAGATCATAGAAGTTATTGCCAGACCCTAGCCTGAACCTTCAGCTTCCTAGTTTATTTTATTAGATTCTATGCACATGAAAGCTTTGGGGTTTAACATTCCTTCATGAAATTTCAGTGGAAGAAAATGCCTAAACTGTAACCTCATGCAAACTTAAGCTAACAGCATCAAAGGAACACTGAAAAGTCAGGGAGACAAAGAAACAGATAAGAGCAAAGAAGAGATGTTAGATGCACATTACAGAAATATTACTTTTTAAATTGTGTTTCAGCTCTGACCACTCAAGAAATCCTGCCATAAATGAACAATTCATCATGTCTTCAGCCATCGCCAGCTACCACCGTATTTCTCCCCATCCTCTACTCCTGCCTGTTTCCCGCTGGAATCTTTGGCAATATTCTGATTCTGAGTGCCTGGATATTTTCACAGAAAACGCCCACCCGAAGGACACAGTACATTTACCTGGCCAACCTGGTGACTGCAAATCTGCTGGTTTGCAGCACCATGCCCTTCCTGGCCGCCTACTTTGCGGAGGGGCACCGCTGGCCCTACGAGTCGGCGGCGTGCAGGCTCGCCCATCACCTGGGGACGCTGGTGATGCACGTCAGCATGTACGTGACCATCACCATCCTGTGCTCCATTGCCCTCAGCCAGTATGCCACGCTGAAGAAGAACTGTGGCCCACAACACTCCCCAGCTCTGCCAGGAACCTTCCAAGGGCGCCTGCTGCATCAGTTCCGGCGGCCCAAGTTCGCTAAATGTTTTTGCGTGGTTATCTGGCTGATTGTGCTCTGCATTACAGTCACAGCCATCAGCTACAACGCCCCGGAGAGGGTTTCAGGAGAGTTCCCCACCTGCTACAACATCAGGGTAGAAGCTGGTGAACGTCCTGCAATGATTGCAGCTTATATTGCCACTGTGTGCTTTTTTCTGTCTTTTATGACTGTTTTGTGGTCGTACTATTCTCTGACTAGACATCTGAACAGAATACAAAGAAACACCTGTATTGGAGAAAAACACCTCATTTACAGAACAGTGAGAAGAAACATTCTTGTCATCCAGATGATATTAACTGTCTGTTTTCTTCCATACCATATTTTTAGGCCAATTTTCTATGTACTGCTTACAGATGATGACTGTCCAAGGTTAAACTATCTAGTGGAAATTAAAAATGTCCTTACTTGTCTTGCTGCTACTAAAAGCAGTTTGGATCCAGTTATAACCCTTCTGTTAGATAAAACATTTAAGAAAAGTTTTTATGGCCTGTTTACAAAATGCACATCAGAACATCAAGAACATAATGATGACATTTGTCACTGAAATGGGAAGAAATATGGAAAGATTTTCATAGACTGTAAATAATAATAAACTGATTTTAACTACCTTTAGGCAGGCTTTGATATAAAATGGCAAATATTTAAATAAAATGGTAACATATTGTATTTTCTTTTCAAATCATCTTGCTACATCAACATTAGTCATAATAAATCCAATGTGTATATCCAAATGAATCCAAGGAGTCTGCAGAGGGAACAGTATAATATCCATTCATCCATGTAATACTAAAGACATTTCATATTTGACCTGTGGACAGTTCCTTTTACCTAAAAAGTCAAGGAAGAAGGCAAAAACTAGGCTGAAGTTGAGGACCCAGCTCTCTCTTGTTGTCAGCAATAGTTTTGGACATAGGTTTCCCTTACAAGAAGGTTGAACAAAGCACACACACTTTCCTTGGGATGGGTGAGCCACAACTGTGCTACACATCCAATGGCCAAGTAACCACAGCAAGACAGAACTGAGCAGTCAAAGCTCTCCAGTTGGCCAAGTGCTGCTGACAGGACTGGTTTTAGACCATCAGCTGCAAGACTGGGTGAGCAGAGTTGTTCACTACCAAAGTGCTCTTCTGATTTGCACAGACACAAACTCAAACCCCACTTCTGTCCCTCCTGAAATACATAGGGAATGTAGCTGCAGTTACCTCAGAAAAATGCCAGCCTGGGCTTGTTTCTCTTAGAACAGTTTTTGAGGGCAGCATAGGCTGAAGACATTCCTCCTACATTTTTCTAGTCACAACCACTTGCTCCCCAGTGCTTATCAAAAAGGCAGAAAAATGAATGAAACTTCGGGAACTACTAATCAAATATAACTTTGTGACAGACTCTTAGCAAGATCCCACTCAAATACTTCTACACAGCACCCAGAAATGCCTATTTATTTTCCTATGTAATCTGCCCAAGGTGATGTCCTTTAAAGTTCTTAGCTGCACCAAAGTTTTCTTGTTTCAAATAGCGGAAAAGTTTTTCTGCAGTACAAGCAATTTGAGAAATTACAAATTGAGTCCTGCACTGGTCTGGCATTTGACAGAAGAGTTCATGGAGGAAAAATCCCCCCAAAACTTAAAGGCATGAGGGATGAAGAGAGTTAGAAAAACACTACAGCAAAACACAGCTCATGTGGCAAACTTCTTGCACTGCTTGGACATGCTGGTGCCAAAATCAGCAGGTGACATGTGAATTGTTTAAAAAAAAACCAATAAAACAATTCTTTTCTATTGCAGTAAACACAAAATCATAAGACAAACAAAGTTTGGTTTGCAAAGCAGTTTAGAGACCACAAGAGTCTGTCAAATTTTTGGTTAAGCCATTCAAATGAGCTGCATGGGAAACCAGCTCATCGATCAGAAGACATGAGTTTTCTGACTGTGTGAGCAAATGACTGAAACCTATAAATTCAGTGACCAGAAAGTTTGTATGTTCAGCTCCAGGTAGGCCAAGCAGAATAATTACACTTTTCTCAGCAAAATTGCTTCTGAACATACTAATAGATCAACAGGAAAAGGGCTGGACAAAACAAGCATGGGGACCTTGAGATATGAAGCAGGGGCACAGGAGTGAAAATAAACAGGGGGAAAAGAGCATTGCCTGAAGAAACACTGAGAAATAATACTGAAAGTTTTGGAGTCTTAACTTGTACATTGAATGAGGAAGTGTACCTCAAAAAAAAAATGTGGCCAGGTAGGACACTTCAATTGCACCTCTGATAGTGGTTTTGCAGCCTTAATAATTTTTAACAACTTAATATGTAACAAAATCCTCACCAAGAAATTGCTATTGGATCTCAAGGATCTAGTAAGCTCTAGAAAATACAGAAAAACACTAATTATTACTGCATGTCCCCAGAAAGCATAAAAGAAGTATCAAATTGAAAAGACTGGAAGGAAAATAGCATGCAACAGATTTCTTGTTTTGGGTATTAAAAGATGCAAAAAGATAAAGAACAGATTCTATCCTGGTTATTTTTTAAATAACCAAATATACAGTTACATAAACACAGACAAACACGTATCTAGTACGTTTACTAATTTTTTAGATATGCCTAAAAGCAGAAGTGTAGGAGTGTTGAACTCTACCAGCCAAATCTGAAGTGCTGAGCTAGAAGCAGTTCAGGCAATGAAAGGCAGAAGTGGTAACTGAGTGTGCTCTCAGAATTCGTATCACGGGTTAAGCTCTGTAAAGTGCCAAAATCACCATGCAAATCTATCCACAGGTCAAGTCTCAGGTAACCTGGACCAGCTCATGTGTATATGACATGCAGTGCAGAACATAATGCTTGGTCTTATTCCCTGGAAAAACTCCCTGGTTTTTATTCCCAGTCACAGAAATATTGAACTGAATCTTAATGACAGTGAAGGCAGAATATGTGTATTTTTGCTTTAGCAGGTTTATCTATTTAGATGATCACATATTGAAACAAGCATTCATACCTATCAAGATAAAGCCATAATGAACATTTTGGATGTCTGCATTTCGCTAACGGGCTCACCCTGACCCCAGCTGCACACTAATTTGCTAATCAGCACTCAGGTACTCAAACTACATGGAAATCATGGAACAAAGCTGGAGTACTTGGAATGAATTAAGGATAAAACCCCAGCAACTAAAGCTCTTGATGTGATTAAATTACTCTTACACCTTATATACTCTCACTCTTATATCCCTCAGTTATATTAAGAGATATTTTTACAACAAGATTTTTGCAACTATGGAAAATTCTACATAACAATAAAGGCTCCCCCACCCCCCCCTTTTCCTTTTGTTGTTCTCGTACATAAAGATTTCTCTGTACACAAGCTGCTCTGTAATAACATTTGGTAATGGAAAAGACTTCCTTTCAATGCTGCTATTTTCAACAGCCACCTTCTGGGTATTTCTGACACAGCAAGGTTATGACAGAAGAAAAGGAATTGCTGAGTCCTCTATCGGTAGATTGAAAGAACAGGAACAAATGTTGTGGCAAGGGAAAAAGTTCCTGACATTCACATTTCTGATGCACAGCTGTCTCTAGTTTTCTACCTTCCTGCATCTTCTGTTTTCCTTACCATATGATCCAGCTTCCAAGCACTGCAGGATCACGTTAACTGATGGTGAAGCAAATTTGTAATTGTCACTGATTATAAAGCCTTTAAGCAAAGCTGAAGGGGGTGAAATGATGTACACAGGCTCAAGACACATCTGGTCTCACAGAGCAGTGAGAGCAATTAGGACAACTGCAGACCATCCTGTGAAAGCTTTCACATTTTGATTCTGACACCAGAGGTGAATGTGGGGCACAGGGGGTTTATCCCAGGCTGGAGTCACTTGGAAAGGTCAGGTGAAGTTTCTGGTACCAGACAACAGTAATTTTGTCTACTCTAAACTGTCTAACTTCCTGATCATCCAGGAGCTAAGGGAGCACAAAACCAGCTGAAAGATATCTGAACCTTACAAGGACTACAAGGTCCTGATTTTCCTGTGCAGCAAAAAACAACCAAGCATTTTACATTTCAAAATAACATTCACAGAAAGTCTAAAAGGGAGAAAAATGTAGCCTGACTATATTAACCTTACAGATTTTATTAAAGCACTTTCACACATTCAGGTAATTTCTAAAGTGGTCATTTAGCCTATTTCCTTTCAAAACAACTTCTACAGTGACATCTAGAGCCTGGATACTGCAGTTTAATGTGTTCAATTCCCAAACCCCACAGCTCTGCACTGCTTTTGCCAAAACAAAGCACAGTTGGTTTACACAGCTTTAGACTGACACCTTAGACATTTTTTCCTAACGCATGTAATTTGAACAGGTTCATTTCTAAGGCTGATATTTAAAAAAAAACAAGCCTGTGATTCTGAGGTTCTAAAGAGATAGGATAAGCACTAAAATAAATCCTCACTTTACCCTCAGCAAAATGGCTTCCCTCAGAGGCCCTTGAAGCCTACATAACAATAAAGGCTCACAAAAGATTGCAAAACCTCTTGATGTTTTACTGATAAAAACCATTCTGTTAAAGTTATTGCAAAACTAAGCCAGTGACAAAGGGTACTCAAATTGCAGCAGGAATTTTACAGGAAAACACAAGAATCTCATTTCAGAGCCACATCCCCCCCCCCCTTTTGCCAAAACAAAGCACTGTTGGTTTACACAGCTTTAGACTGATACATTAGACATTTTTTCCTAACGTATGTAATTTGAACAGGTTCATTTCTAAGGCTGATATTTAAAAAAAAACAAGCCTGTGATTCTGAGGTTCTAAAGAGATAGGATAAGCACTAAAATAAATCCTCACTTTACCCTCAGCAAAATGGCTTCCCTCAGAGGCCCTTGAAGCTAAAACTTGGGGTTTTTTTCAATAATACGGTCCAACAAAAACAAGCGGAGCTTTCACGAAGACACAGCAACATAATGATGATTTCAGATTAATTCTGAAATTCATGTGGTACCAAAACCAAACAATTAAAAGTACCTAGAACCATCAACATAGAACAGTATGAGACATTCTACCAGCAACTAAGAGCTGGTATTAAAAAATTCTAATTTTTAGACTCTGTTTTATGAAATGACTATTAAAACAACAAACTTAAAAAGAAAGCCTGATACATAATAATCCTCTTGATTTCAAAAGGAAAGGAGTAAGAGGCGAATGGTCTGCAGTGTCTGGGTATAGAAGACCAAACGACTCCTCATAAAAACCACCAGTTCAGTGTCTGTACTCTCTCCCCTCACAGGTCACCTGCAGGAGTTTGAAGCGCAGTTTACCCTCCCTCCATCTTCTCTATTCACTAAAACCCAAGAGTCACTTCTCAAACTGCACCATCAGAGCTTGCTAGTATTTTTCTTAACTCCTACAATGTTTGACTCACTTTGGATGGAACCAAACTCTTGGAGAAGCGGGAATAACTACTTTAGGCAATGACATTAACAAAGAATTTGCATATTCAAATTGAAGAGAGTCAAGCCCACTTGGGTTAAAACTCCCAGCTACTTACATTACAGTACTTTAGGATAAACTACTTCCATAAATATCCATAGAAACAGTACAAAGTTTATCAGATTAAAATCCATATGTTCATACACTGGTCTTAAACACTGCATTTATCCTCTCAAACTTATTTATATTAAAGAAGTTTTCATAATAATAAATGTTTATTGGACTGTCTCCAAGAAGCAGATAATATTACTAATATTTAGCATTTAAGCCTGTGCATCGCTATGAAATCTTAGTGTGAATGAGGGCTGTCATTATGCTGTCAAATTGATGCCAATAAACTGCCAATTCCAGTTTAATTTATGCAATTAATTTATATACACATTTTCCTAACAAGAAGAAAATGCAAGCAGATTCTGTATAAATATTCAAAAAGTAGAAATTAAACTGACTTTCCAAGCACGTTGTAATTAAATGCATGTACAATTTGTGAATACAGACCTCCTAAGTGTTCTATATTGATGGAATTAGTGTGGGCTTCAATCTTACATGACACAATAAGAGTAAAGACACACTCAGCAAATAGAGACAGATTCCTTTTCTACAGTTCCTCTCCTCTCTAAATTATAGAAATTGAAATTCAGTACTTTGCATTATTGTGGTGAAGAAGAAAAAGTAATTAAGCCCCCTTACCTTCACATCTCTGTGAATTATATTATTATCATGGCAGTAACGTAGAGCTTCCAGTATCTGTCTCATGTAATGACTGAAAAAACAAACACATTATGCATGAGAAACCTGCAGGAAAAATTACTATACACATTTAACCATCTAAGTATTAAGAGTCTAACTGTATAAAACTAATCAACCAATTTCACCTCAAATATCTAGAGTTCTGTAGAATGGAGTTTAGGTTTATAGTAGCGAATAACACAATCTAAAGCTTGAGAATTATTCTGATTGAAGATGAGGGAAATTAGAAAATAAAAATCTGTGTTTTCCAGGTTTTTGTAAAGGTTTCAAATGTTCAATAATTCCGCACCCTGTGCTGCATCAGAGCATCACTGTGGCTCAGGGAGCCAATCCTTGTCCTCTGGGGGCCCCAGCTGGTTAGAGGCAATGTTTTTTTTCCACAGGAACATCACAATGCACTGAATCAAATGCTCAGGGAGGCTGTGGAATCTCCCTCCTTGGTGATATTCTACACCCCACTGGACAAAGCCTGGAGCAGCATGATAAAAATGCTGTGCTGAGCCTGCCCTGAGCAGGAGGTTCAAACACAGACATTGATGGCTCCTCTAACCTGGTTCCTACCATGCTAAAAAATCTACAGTGTTGAGGAAAGCAAACAAAGAATGCTGTGGGCTTTGAGCTCAACTATCAGGCCATTAGGACAGTGGATTTCATTATCCTTTTGCAATTTTATAGACTCTTTCATCTTAGTTAATCTCATAAGTGGAAAGGTGAGGTGATCATAAATACAGTGATACATTAGAAAGAAAAAACCAAACCAACTCCATCTAGCAAGACCAGTAAAATTCTCACCACGACAGGCAAGTCACTTAATGCTATCATATGAGAGATCCATAAAGGCAAACACAGTCAATTAGGCATCGGATGTGAAATTTTTTTATTCACAGTAAAACAGTTTTACTCAATAATCTCATCCAAATCTGTACCTAGTAAACGGCAAAATGCTCCAAAATTCTACTTTGATTGTGCTAATTATTGCAATAAACATCTAGAGTGTAGGAAAAGGATTATTTATAGTACAACTTTCAAGTTTTAGCTAACAGATTGTACAACACTATATTCCATTCTTTTCTATTTATCCTGAGGGATTAATTAAAATTATAATAAATACCTGGCTACAGCCTCACTGTAGACAAATCCAGCATCTGCTCTCTTCACAATTTCAAAACACAGGTCTGCTCCATCCATACTGCAGGTAAAAAGAGGCAAAATGCTTAAAACTGATAACTACCATCAACTACATAAAAATGCTTTAAAATCTATTTATTTCAATTACACAAATCTTACATAAAGTACTCTAGATACAAGTACAGTGCATTACTCATTAAAACAGCATTTAATGGGTAATCTAATAGAAAATGGCTTGCCACAGGTTAACCATTTTATGTCCCTCAAGTCATGTAACAGCTCTCCTAAAAGCATTACCAATACCAAACATTTACTTAATTGCTTAAACTGGTCATTGAACAAGGTGTGCAAGAAAAGCCAATGCCCTGCAAAGAGGACAGTGCAATTTAACAATTAGCTCCTGATATTAGGTTAAGTGTGTTCTTATAAGCATTACAAGTGCAACTCTAAACTAATGACTGTAGTAAAAAAAAAAATGTTACTCAATTTGAATTTTAAATGAAGACTTTGAAAAATACTCTAGAAATACAGTACAGTCTTGCCAGTTGGCATTCTCCTCTGGATAATTAAGCAGCCAAGAGGAGATTTTACAGCTCATAGAAACCTGAGAACACTGACAGCTCACATACTGTATCACCAGCTCTGAAACTTGATACCTTTCTCCTCCTCTCCCTCATTCTGATCACCGAACTTCCCACAATGAGCAGCATTACACTTTGGATGCAGATAAATTCACAGACCTTAGTCTGAAATTAGGCTGCCATTTCTCTAAAATAAAAGCAGCCTGGTGCTGCCCTTTTTTTCCTCTCCTGAAAGGGACCTAAGATTGTATCTAGAAATGTCCACAGCCTGATGGAGCAAGAAGAGTGTAACAAGAGTTAACAGGAACAATAAAAAGCACACAACTCATGTTTAATAAGGCACTTGCAAAAATATTGAATGTAACATGACATCTTCAGCCTTCACACCTTTTTTATTTATTCTCCACAAAGACTCAAGGGGGAAAAAACCCAAAAGGCAGAATTTCCAAGGCATCTGGACAGCCAACATTCCCAGGGTTGTTTCAGTGAGCTATTCAGAATATCAGCATCACTTCTGCTTTGTTACATACCTGCAATGCCAAACTTCTGCTTAGGGAGCCACAAGTCATGTGCAGAAGCTTTAATTCCCAAACAAATCCCGAAGGTCTCCCTCATGCAAAATACACTATCAAATGGATAGAGCACTGACAACTCTAAGAGGGACTGGTGACCAAAAGAAAAGCACACTGAAGAGTGCAAAGAGCCCCATATTGCCAAACCATGTCTGTTCTTCACTGCATCAATATTCCTCTGCAGGTTTTTTTCCCAGCAGTTTTTCTTGCACAACTCCTGACACCAGGTCTGCATACAGGGCTAAATATCACCCAGAGGATATCACAGAGTCCATACAGCAGCCATGGGGCAGGGTCACTGAGAGAGCACAAACCTGGAATTCACTGGCTCACTGGAAAAAATCCCTCATGTCAACCTCTCAACCCTCTCTCAAATGTAGAATATACAAAATGTATGATCAGCTACGAAAAATGAGCAGATGTCATTCTCATGAAGCAGCAGAACCCTTTAGAAGACTAATTACCTGTACTTTATAACAAGTCAGGGAAATTAAAGATCCAGAGGCACTCAAGCTTTTTAGCAGCATCAATAGTTCTTCAGACATGGAGGGAGGAGTATAATGTTTTTACATTAATTTTTCTATTACACAAGGTGTTTATAATCAGCATGGTCTTTAACATGTATTTCTACCTCTCACTTACAGACTGCAGCATTTTTAATTGAAATTTTCTACCAGTAAGTGCCAGTGATTTCTTCTTGGTACACATGTTTGAAAGTTTTACTCCATTAAGATGAACTCTGTTGGCCTCCCAAGCACAAATATGAGTCAGGTGTTCTTTAATCTCTGAAATAAACTGACCATTTTTTCATGGCAAAAAAAAAAAAAATCCTTTTTTTAAAAGAGAAGATTTTGATTCATGTGTAAAGAGGACTTGTATAAGTCCATGTGATACAATATATTCAATACATTATATTGACTTTTACCTAAAAATCATGAGACTTTTGTCTAGCTGAGGCTGAAAAAAAAGCCAGAGTCAACCTCAGTTATAAGAAATCCCAGAAACTTCAGTGAACCCACAGACTAAAAACTCAGCAATAGCTCAAATACTTACAAGATGACTTTGCAGAAACTGAAAGTCTTGTATTACATGAGAGCAATAAAGTTTTGGGATCGTGATGGAATGAAAGTTTAGGAAGTCTCAAGGGTTTGCAACTATCAGCATAAGCATGTGAAAACCACAAAAAAAGAAAAAAGTTAAAATCCACTGAAGTAAACATACAAATATATTCATTCTGAAGACTTTAGTGGATGGTGCAAAAAAATTTGGGAAAAATCAGAAGACAGTCATAACCTGAGAGAATTCCCTGACACCAGCAGAGGGAGCTCATGGAAGGGACATGAATTCACTGGGACCGATGTATTTTAAATAAATAAAATAAAATAAAATTTAAAAAAAAAAAAAAAAAAAAAAAATTGCTCTGACACCAGCAGTGACTGAAGAACAGACAGCATACTGCATAACAAATCTGTGTTTTCAGATTGGGGTATGATAGCTTTCAATTTGCAGGCCTAATAGGATGTGGCTTACAACTTAATTTATGAGAAAGCTTTAGAACCACTGCTTCATTCAGGGAACTGAATTATTAGTTAATAAAAATAAGATACAAAAATTCAGAGTTGACATACTGCTCATAACTGAGTTTTGTACCATGTATGGTTCAAGGCTTGTGCACAACGGCATTTTCCCCCTCACCTGAACAGTTTTCATGTACTTGCCATCTTCACTTACCTCATATAAGCCAACTGCTACCCTGTTAAGTACTGCTTTTATGAATTTGAGATCTTAAACCTGAAGCATTTTTACATGTCAGCTACATTAAATGGCAAAGCTATAGGTATACAATTATATATATATACACACCCTAACAGCTAAATCTTAACATATCTGTTCTTCTAATGTCCCAAGATATAAACCTCTCTTAGAATGCACCAAGAAAACCAAACTCACCTACGTATAGTGTTAAGACAATATTCTGCAAATTACCAAATACCAAGGTATTTTGGAATGCACTCACTGCTCCTGTAGCTGAGCTCTTCAGCATGGAAATACTCTCAGTCCATATATACTGAGGATAAACTGCAAATAATGTATTCGTAAGTCCAAAATCTAGTTTTCAGACCCTTCAAAATGAGTATTTGCTTTCTTTTAGAAATATTTCAAGTAGCTGTGACCCTTCTCAAAGTATTCTCACTATAAAAATCAATGATCATTAGGAAAAAAATATAATAAGCAACAGAACATTAAGTGACACTTGTATACCACAGAGAAAACAGTATCCTAAATTAAACCAGGAGGCTTATGTGGGACCTCATCAGTATCTGAAAATGCCTGAAAGAGGTTGTAGCCAGGTCAGGGTCGGTTTGTTCTTTCAGGTAACAAAAGCAATCAGAAAAGGCCAAATAGCTTCAGTTTGTGCTGAGGGAGGTTTATATTGGATAGCAGTAAAAATTTCTTTACTGAGAGCGTTGTCAAGCATGAGAACAGGATGCCCAGGTTAACAGTGAAGTCACCATCCCTGGGGTTCTTTAAAAGATGTGTAGATGGGGAGTTTAGGGACATGGTTTAGTGGTGGATTTGGCACTGCTGGGTTAATGGTTGGGCTTGATCATCTTATGAGGTCTTTTCCAACCTAAATGACCCCATGATTCTATACAGCTGCCAGCAAATAACACCAAAGATGGGAAAGAATATTGCAACTCTATTACAGAGAGTAGAATTGGCCTTTCCCAGATGTAAGGTGTCTCCAGAGCCTCCAAGGGATCATTTCCTTCAGAGTAAAGAGCCCCTCTGGCGGGGGGGGATGGGGGGCAGCTGGGATGTGTGTGAGGGAAATAATTTCGCACAGGTAGATCCTCTCTTATTTGTAATGCAATAACACCTACATACTTTTAAAATACTATTTTCAGCTTAGCAATAAGGCTTTCTGGGATAGGGTCTGCTTCTTACTCTACACATGCACTTCATCTATTATGGCCACCAGCTTCACTGCAATTTATTACAGCAGCACCATACAGCCTGCTGGTAATCTGAGATATGGGCCAGTCTAAAGAGTGCTTGAGCTTGTGTATGAATAAGGGGTTCAAAACAGAGCTCATTTTTTGGTGTCAAACCTCATTGCTACTGTGCATCTTCATCATTGCTTCTATGAATCGCGGTTTGATATTTAAAATGTTTCTTTTCACAAAAGCTTTCAAAATCGGGCACAAATTGTATATTTTCCTGAGTGGTTCAATCAGCTGTTCCCAGGTACATGCTACATTTGCTTATTTCACCTGCACTTTTCCTGTATCAGTAGGTTTGGCAAGATATTCAGGGTTCCTCTAGCAGTTGTCCCATGCAGCTCACAGCCTATGGAACAGCAGTAAACCAATGAATCATTTATGTGCAAGTGATGGCACCAACTTTTAGGTTTGGTTATTCCACACATTTTATGTGCTGGGCCTGCCTTAGTTTTCATGTAAAGCACCTGCCAGCCCACAAATCACTCATCACAGCTGGGTTTATGTCTCCTCTGCAGATCTGTGTTGTCTTCCCCTTTTCAGTCCCTTCAGAGTAACTAGACCCCAATGAAATATATTTTATTACTATAGACAGAAATTTGCTGCAAATCAGTTGAGCTGGTTACAGTAACAGCATAATGAACAGAAAGCAGTATGGAGGAAAGTGAATTACCTACATGTACAGAGATGCTTTTCTGCAACTCCAAGTTTGTTTTTCTGGTCACAGTTACAGACTGTGTCCCTAATGCTCAGACTCAGACAATGCAGTCTCTCTCACTCCACACAAACACCAGCCTGGTGCTGAATCCCTTGACCAAAGCACCCCCCCAGCACAACACCACATCCTGCCACAGCCCTTCCATTCCCTCCCACATCTCGAGCACAGGTGTTCCTGCAGCCTCATTTTCTGTCACTTCTACAAAAGACTGATGATTTTTGTGTACAAAAGAGACAAGGACATACATATGATAAACAATCATCATCCCTCAAATAATTTAGCTTTGTAATTCCTTCTTTCATGTGGCCTGAAGTCAGGTGCAGTATTTGTGTAGTAATTCTAATTGTTCAGACTTGCTTTTTATGTGTACAAACATAAATTATAATAGGGTTGTCATTAAAAAATAATTACTGCTTTTGTCTCATATTTCTGAACTATCAGCATGTTAAAAATAGAAGAAACCCCTTTTTTTTCCATTTCAAAATCTTGTTAATTATCTGAGTATGACTACCCAAGGTGTACATAATTATTTCATAATAAGGTAATTAAAGTCCCTCGGTCAATGCTTTGGGATTTTCAAAATAAAATGCAAAGTCAGTACTGAATCAAAATGTACACAGAGGAAAGCACAGAACAATTATTTCACAAAACTGTAAGTTTATAAACTCATTTAAAAACGCAGAAGACTTGCAAACAACAATTTTCTGCTTTACCTGATGCTTTTATTGTGGCTTTTCTACTACCTCAGTGGTAAAACATGAGAGAATTATTTTTTATGTGGACATCTCAAATCAAATTCTTGGCTCTAGTGGGTAAGCCAGTTTTACCTAACAAACGTGTATGATGTGGTCACCCCAACATCATGAGCTCAAATCCATCAGAAAACACAATGGAAGAAGATCAGAGAAATTTAGGAGGTAAAAATACATATGCCCAGACTGAATGAATATCCAGGGAGCATAAAAAGAAGAGCTGGTAGGCAGAGAGAAAGAAGATCAAATACAGAACATGCACAAATGACCATTTCACATGTCTGGTTGTATCCTTCCCATTTAGACAAAACCTAACTCAGGAAGAACGAATAATTTTCTCTCACAGAAAGAATGTGGTAATTTCAGGGCTGCCCCCCCTTCTTTGTTTCTTGATGTTGAATAAAAATACCTGTCCATTGCTGAAAAGTCATGTTTTGTTCTTTCTTACAACTAAACTTCTACACTGAAGCTTTCAAAACAAATCTTGCAGACAAAAGCATCTTTTCATATATTATGAACAGGTATATTGATTTACAATAGCACTTAAAACACCAGTAACTTTACTTTCTTATCTAATAATAGAAAAGCAGTGCTAAAGAAGCAACAGTGTGGAAAGAAATAAATAAAATTTCACAACTGGAACAAAATACCCTCAGTTACCCAAAGGTGATGTCAGCAGATTTTCAACTAGTTCTCTTACCCTGCAGCCATGAAAAAGGATCATGCTTGGGATCATGCTTGTCTTTACAAAGCCCTGATGTTCACCACTTAAGACAGTGGGACACTTGTTTTTTTTTTTTTTTGGGACAACCTTGACTTACCAGAAAGAAATATTTTCAAAGTACTCAAGCCCTCTGAGCTACAAAACCTACAGGTATGAGCAGACATACTTTTAGGATTTTATTTAGCAAATAACATGGAAAGGCAGAATCAAGGAGAGAAACTTACAACTCAAAGACCATATAAAGCATTCCATCTGAGCTGTATGTCTCCAACAGTTCAACAATGTGAGGATGCTTCAGCATGTGACAAATACTGGCTTCTCTCTTCAGATCTGTGGAAGGTAAGAAGGTAGTTGCAGATTAGCTATATATTCAAGCTGTTTAGAACACAATCTTTGGAAAGATGCACATATTTGAAATTTCTAGAAAATTCATTAATCTTTATAAAGAACTCTGACAAGATGATATTTAATTATGCTTAATTCAAATACTCACATATCTCTCAAAATTTAACAGATTCTTGAATTCATACATTAATAGAAGATATCCTTGGTCATAGGTTGAAGAACTCTACAGAAATTCCTTGAATGTACAGTTGCAGATTACACTGAGAATTTCATCCTAAATATTTAACAACACTGCAGAATTACCTCCAAATGCAGAAAACAAATCCACTACACTACAGGATTATTAATAAGTGGAGGTCTCTAAATCCTCTGCTCAGAGCAAGGTGAACCAGAGCAGATTGTGCAGGGTCTCACCCAGCTGAGCTCTGAACACATCCAGATGTGGAAACTCTACAACCTGCCCAGAAAACCTACACCAGTACCTGACCATCCTCAGAAGTAAAGAAGTGTTTTTCTTATGGTTACATTTCTTCCAGTTTACTTCTTCAACAGTATTTATTTTAAAATCACATTATATGAAATGACACTGGAAATTTTAATCAGCATGCGTTAGTTTGCATCTCTGCTCTAGAGAAGAGTGAATAAAGCAGCAAAAGTTGCAGCTAAAAGAAGAGCAGAAACCACTCTGAAATCTCTCAAAGCTTAAAAGATTTTGTTTTAAACAACACTCCTACTTTTTCTGACCACAAATCAATCCTTCTGCAAATAAAGAAATGTAAAAAACCAAACCACACAATTAATTTTCTTTCTTCTTTGTTGAAACAATTTGGTATTTTTGTTATTTAATCATCCTTAAACTTTATTTCTTTTAGCTTACCTACTTGTATTCTAGAAAGAATAACAAAATCTTGAATGAATAGCTTTGATGATAATTTGATAAGAAAGGAAAATATCAGTCTGAATTCCAAAGCAGACATTTTACTTTTTTCTTCTCTTTCCATAAAATTGGACATTGTTCAAGAATGACCTAAACATGCATTTATGGAGAAATAAAAACAGGATTTCTTGGTTTGAGAATATTCACCATATAACTGGGCTACACTAGAAAGAAATTTACAATGCACTATTTCACATGTGCCCTCCTACATTCTTAACATGAATCAATTATATCGAAAAACGCAAGCAGCAAGATGAAGATTCCTTTATGTGAAGCATTTAACAGGTAACTCAGATTTATGCTAGACTCTGGATCTTTCAGCCATCCATAAATTCAAATGAAAAGCTGGGAGTTTGGAAATGACTGAATTTCAATCCAAGAAAAATGTTCAGATCCACAAAGTGCAAATTTTGTTATCAGAACTTTCATATGACACCTGTGTTACACAACTTTGCAAATACAATCTAGAAGCAAAATGACAGAGCAATCCTTTAGAAACCACTATGTAATGGCACCTTAGAGGTGCAAGCAGAACAACAAACAGAAGCATCATTCAGTGATACAGAAGAAGCTTTGATAAAGAAATTAATGTGAAATTCGGCCTTTATTTGTCCATCTATTTATTTAGATGAAATTCTACAAACTAAAGAAACAGCAGTATGTCTTTCACTATGGAAAATACTCACATTATCAGTTCTTACATCACCTTAATGCAGATTAACTACCAAAGCCACACAGTAACCTTCCCTTCCATCACAACAGGCAAAGATTTGACACCAAATGGTTCCCACCCCTTTCCTAGGCAGAGAGGTTCACTCAAGTACACATCCAGTCCTTTCTAAACAGGATCAGAGATGAGCACACTGCGGAGCAGTGTAAGAGAATGAAAAACTGTGATTCTGTCAATGACTATGATCTTCAGAAAATAGGCTGCTTGTATTTTGTCTCTCACTTTGTAACAACTTTAATGCCACCACTTTTTGCCGTGGATCCGATACCTATTTCAGACGGAAAGCCAAGTGAAAATATCCAACATTAAATTGCAGGAAAGTTCTGCTTTATTTACAGGCAAAAATTGTGCTCAAAATAGTTTATTTTGGCTGCTCCCTTTATTAATATTTTGTGGGCTTTATTTGAAAAGAATTAGAACTGAAAGGAAGAAAGTATATGCTGCCATTTCCCTCATTCCTCTGTGTAATACTGGATGAGTGCAGCAATTGCTCAGACTGAGCACCAGCACATGAGGAAGGAGAAACAAAGTGGAAAATAAAATCTCCAAACAGGAAAACAAATGAATAGAAGTTACAGAACAAGGCTTTTTATGACTAAGGGGTCTTGGGGCTAAGAGCAGAACAAAGTCCTATTTTAAACACAGCAGGGACTTGTTCAACAGTAGGCCTATTAAGAAAAATAAAATGAGGTATAAAGAGACAGACAAGCACATACCACACTGATTCAACAAAGCCACAGGGCAGGAAAGAGCTGATGGATTCTGAAGCACATTTGGACCATGACCCAAAGGTCAAAACAAGTCATGTTTAAGACCAGTAAAAGGGAAAGAGAAGGAGGAGAAAAAGCAGAGATGACACATATGTTTCATTGTTTTCACTTAAAAAAATGACATCAGCATCTACTCAATCCTTTAGCAAATGCTTTTTCTAGACTGAATTAAATTTTACCTCCCACAGGTCAAAGAGGTAAATAAATTCCCAAGCACCCACAGACCAATCCAACACAAAACCAAGCAGATATTCCTTTGCACCAGGTGATTTAGGATATCCCAAGAAAAATCCCATTATTATCTTGTGAGCCACAATATTATCTGTGGCATCATTGTGAATACCACATTGTATGAACTATTTGCTACATTTTCTAAACCTCTGCTGAGTATTTGAGCCATGTTGTGTAGTAATAAAGGTTCCAGACACACATCCCATATTCAAATTAGCCTTTCATATTCCAGACACCTATAAAAGATTCAAGACAACTCTAGAATCTGCCAAGATGGCAGCAAGTTTGCTTTAAGCAGTAAAGGTGATGTGTCATTTAGTAATGGTCATGTGTCCCATATTTACAGCAGTCTCCTCCACTAGCAAACAAAATTTAGCTGAAATAACATACCCTGCATGTCTTGGACTCTAAACCAAACTGTCATCTTTTACTGGCTGGACTATTTAACTTCATTTGAATCCTTTCTGAACCCTTCATCTATTCATTTCTCTCTTGTTCTTGATATGGCTGAAGAAATTACTTTCTGGTTCATTCTTTAAGCCTCTCCTGTCAGCACTTTTTTCAAAATTAAACATAATTGACAACAGCGATAATAAATAGAATTGCAAGTACTAAAAGCACAAGTCTTAGAAGTTTCTCTGCCAGCTGCATGGAAGTTATTGTCACACAACTAGGAACAGGGAAAATGATCTGGTGTTCCATTTAACTTGTTTAGCACACAGCCTCTTACTTTACATCATAATTTAAAAAGCATTTACAAGCTATCCTTTTACACAACTGTTACCAATAAATGTTCCAGAATTTCAGTCTGTTTACAAAACTTTGAGCATTTTTTTAGCAACTGGAGACATGTTAAAGTTTCCATTTTAGACCTGGCTACTTATTTAGAGAGGCACTAAAGTTGTTTAAAGGGCAGGAAAATTCAGACTTCAGTAACAAAGAAGAAAAATTCAAAGATGGAAAAGGGAATTCCCAACCATAATCACCACACAGAGAAAATGCAGCCTCATGTGTGGATAGCGACACTGAAAGTGAATTGCTGGAAGCACAAAAAAAGATAACTGCTCTACATAATTGCACAGAAATATATATCAGTCTTTGATAAAAACCATAAAACATGAGTATCACTTAAAATTCCCATGGGAATTAACAACCTAATATCCTACACATCTCTGACAATTCTGGCAAACACCTAATTTCCTTTCAAAACCTGCTACCAAAGTTTTAAAACATCTCAAATATACTGAACGTATTTTCGAAGTATGTTCATGGAAAAATTAGATGATCTCTAGCAGCCTACATAATAGCACCAATTCATTATTTTAAAAGTGATGTGCACAGACTGTAGCAGTCCCATCTTTTTTTGGGACAGACAGCTCCAAGTTTCTTAGCAAGATGGAAGGCACATGCAATTTTTATGTATACACAATTCATTTTTATGCATACACCATTCTGATTTTCCAGGGTCAGTCCTTTAAAGGATTAGTTTTGCAGCCACAGCTTGGGTATGACAGTATTTTGAAAGGAAGTATCTTCAACAGTAAGCTTCTTGCTTAAAATGCTTCTATGTGTTTTGTACAGCAAGATATGATTATTTATAACTTAAATAGACGTGGTAGTACGAAGTTTTAAAGGGAAATCAATATGCTTTGTTCACTTGGTTATGTCATTCTCAGCAACCACCCTTTGGTGAGCATCGTGGAGAACCCCTGACCATGCAAATGGAATTCTTCCAGGAACAGCTAAACTGAACTGCGTGTCTGAAATGTGCCTGATGCACCACCTGAAGCAGGGACAAGGGAGACACTGAGATCTCAGCCCTAGTGTTTCACCCTACACACAACTGTCCTGTGGATTATTAGCCTTTGCTAGATGTTAAACTCCCACTCAGGTTCCTGCTGAGGCAGGGGTAGAAAATGCAAGTAACAAGAACAAAAAAAACCTCAAGGGTTGAGATAAAGACAGCGAGATTGTTTATCAGCTACTATTTTCTGCCAAACAGCCTTGATGAAATTAACTTGTTTTTTGCCAATTAAAAGACAATAAACATGAAGCCAAAAAATTTCCTCCCCCCTTTCATGGCCTTACCTCCACTCCACTTCAGCCCCTCCAGCCCCAGCTGTGAGGGGGGCAGGGGCGAGGGCCACGCTCAGCACACTGCAGGCTCCTCTCCGCTACCCCAGCAAGGGTTATCCATCGGCTCTGCCATGGTCAATCTCCCCCTTCCCTGACCTTGCTGTGCCCTCTTTTTGCTCCGCACTCCCTAAACTTTGTTCCAGTGTTTCCTACATCTCCTGAAATGTATCTTCACAGAAGC